TGTCGCTAACCTACGGGGCTTTGAGATTGTTGGAAGAAGCGAGGTAGCTCAGACGACTACCTGTGATGTCAGAGCTTCCTCTCGCTTCAGTGTCCTGGCTTTCTTCTGTTAGAAGGTGTTGGTTAGAGACCCCCAGATCATCCTCCCCGGGCCCATCGAAATTGAGGCGAAGCTGCGCAATTAGTGAGGTGGGACTATACGTGTACTACCATGTGGCCATATTCTGGTACCTCGCCCACTTATGCCTGCACTTATAGCTGACTAAATGCATGGCGTAATCTCCAAATAAGAAGTCAGAGCGTACAGTACCTTATATCCCAATGTGATTAGTGGGTGAATAATAACATACCATGACTGCGGTCTATTATACAGTCAAGTTTCCACTGGCATTAATTAAAATTCAACCACTGTCATTAGATTATAGAACCGACTAGTCTAGAAAGATCATGGGCATATTCAAACTAAGTACCAGTGCCCAGAAGGACTAACACTTTCCGTGAATGGTCCTTACGGAATATACAGCTACATCGCGCGCTCTAGCGAAGTATTTAACACTCGTAGTGTGGCAGAGTGTGTCTGCACGTACGATGAGAGTCGTCTTGAGTCTCACGAGCTGATTATATAGAGATCATTGATTTACCTAGCTTTAATGATACAGCACAGGCGTCTTCGAATTCAGTGATGAGAATCGACATGGACGCATGAATGGTAGCAGATCCTCTTCCCAGACAAATTTCACTTCCTACATGCAACATCGTGAGAGACATGTGCCATCATGGAGAGCGCTCATTGCATAAAGCAATTACTTATACACCAAGAATTATAGTATGTAGTGCGAATGGATACGAGTTCAGTTTGATACGCATATCTATCACTCTGACCCGTCAGCATTTCATCAGAGATGTCTTAAATCATGAGGTCGTTCTTCATTAGCAATCTAGAGCCACCTTTCAAATACAACAGTTTGCGACTACACACTGCACTCAGTCTCTGACTCTTTTTCGACATATGGGTGACGGGTGGAAGCAGATGTGGACATCTTCTAGTCACCAGGCTGGACAGGTGTAGCTACAGTCTACAGAAAGAAGCATCAATATGGAACACAGACTGGAACCTTTGACTTGCTACTTTGGTTACTCCCCCACGATGATGATATCACATAGTCGAAAGTTTGCTTACATTCAGCAATCTTGAAAAGTGTTAAGCCTCGTTTCCATTAGTTCGTTTTAAACACATAGCGTCATTGGGAGAAACGCCTACGCAGATGAACGACCATTTACACTACTACGTTAGATTTGAGCTCACGGAAGTTCGGTGGTTAGTTGCATTCATTGCCACCAGATGTCTCTGTATTTAACTTACGGGACTCTTAACATACTTAAATTCGATGTTATCGGAAAATTTTATTTCTGCTTATGAACTATGAAAGTAAAGCATGTTAGCAATTTTTAGATAAGTAAGATTATAATGCATATTATGAACATCTCTAGTTGCATAGAAGCTGAAGTAATTTTTAAAAATTTCTTGTGTTTCTAGAAGCTTTAAGTATTAATGAAATAATATATAAAACTAAAATGTACTGTTACTGCAAAACAAATAAAAAGTGAAACAGATTAAAAATACCTAGTGCTTAAAATACAGAGCATCTGTAAAGAAAGGCGACTGCACTTACGCAGTTATATTTTATGCATAATCCATAAAATATTATTTTTCATTTATAAGTTTTAAATTCATGTCTTCTTTTATAGAATAAGTTATAAAGGTAAGCTTTTTTCTCTCTTTATATATATATATATATATATATATATGTAAGAAAAATAAAGAATATGTAAAAGATGAAATTAGCAGCGTAAATTAGTTTCCCTTCTATATTCTAAAAATAGCAACATCTATTTGCACAACGTCATTTCGAGAAAAATCTATGTCAGATGAGTCTTATGTAATTCCATTGATGTTAACTGAACTAAAACTCAAGCAGCCAATAGTAATTTTACAGCAATATTAACTATCCAATCAAAATGCTTTGAGAGCCAAAACTAACTCAGTTTGACTTAAGATATCATCCTGAACATTACGCACATTCTTTCTACACTTTGCCTGTAGTCTGTCTGATTCTTCTTTTTTGCAGCAAATCTATCAAAAATATAAGCCCTTTGGAACAGGCACATTTAATGTGCCGACTTGTGTGTAACCGCAACATGTTGCTGAAAATAAAACTGAAGATTTAATCTGCCTTCGCCTCCAATTTCCTAGTCATTATGGATCAACACTTCTACGCAATCAAAATTCCTTCTCCTGAATATATTACATATATACATAAGGTAAAGAAGATGGAAATATCTAATTAATAAATTAACTTTTTACACGCCAATGTTCCATAAATGGAACATCAAATTTAAATTTTAAAAAAAAAACCACAATTTTATTAATATTGCTTTGTATAAATTATTACATGGAGAGTAAATATGGATTGATGTTTTAGTACAATATAATCTTCTAAAAGAAAAATTATCTTGATAAAAAATTCATTATTTCACCTTTTTTCCTTCTTTTCTAAGAGCAAAATTCAAAAATTCATATAAAATTAAAAATTCAACATGTTTTTAAAACTCGATGAGGATATTTAAAAAGGATCATTTTATGCATAGACCGTAAGTTATCATAGAAAGATGATTATTATTTTTTACTATGAGGTAAGAAATGTGGATGTTCCAGAAAGGGAACATTGGCGTGTAAAGGTATATTTTTTAACATGATGAAATTACTTTGATTGCTGTGAATAGAGGCATGGAGAAAGATTTTCCAACTGTGAAAGTTCCAGTAAGTGTGGAAAACAGACGTTTATGACTGTCTGTTTTAGACTCCCGTATATCCCCCCCTCTCCTTTCACACATTTCCATAAGGGTTTGAAGTGAGTTACAGCTACTAGAGAAAAGCAGGTGGCGTTTCTGGATAGGCTAGACGCTAGAGGTTGTTTATGACTCAGTGAAAAAGATGTATATTTTGGAATGTGGATTTCATTATTTTCCCATTGTTTGCATTTTTTTTTTTTTTTTTTTTTTTCCAGTTCGTGAAAATACGCTACGCTGATAAGATGGCTCATTCAAAACCATTTCAGTCTATTGAAGAAGCATTGGTATATTTTTATACATTATCAGATGATGATTGTATTGATATTTTCAATGCCTCCAAAAGAACTGGATGTTTGACGATGAGGAAGATGTACTGAAGATATATTTTAGCCTGTTTGTCAGCGGATGATGTGGAAAAATCGAAATTTTCTAATAAATAGATGATGAAATATCTCAGATTCATTCCATCCTCAAGACCTTCATCTTAAAGGGAAGGAAGAATGTTAAGGAACGAGAAAAAAAGAAATTGGTGGGGAAAAATTTAAATTTTAACAAAATGCTAAAAACTGGCACATTGAAAATATGTGCGAAGTGTTTCCTGAACTAGTTACTTTATCTCAGTTGAAATTTTTTACAATGCCTAACTAGAGCATATTTGCTGCATAGCAAATATGACAGGTCTTTACGGAAGCAGAAAGGAGAAGTTTTAGCAGTAGACGAAAACGATATTGAAGTTTTTTTGGATTACTGTTGTTAGTGTTGGTATCATGGAGTACCCGGGAAGATTTATACTGAGCATCAAGAAAATTTATCTGTCCTAGAGTTTTTTCTATAATGCCAAGAAGTAGTTTCGAAAACTGAAAAAATACTTTCATATTATAATAATCAGTGCATTAGGAGATAAAGGAAAAGTTTTCTCCTTTTTTTTATGAAGAATGGAAAAAAACTTTCTTCAGTTGGCATCTTCCATTCCTGCAGTGTGAATTTTTTGTATGGAGATTATTTGTTACTTATTTCTACAACTCTTTTCCTTGTTTCAGTATAAACTGCTAACAATTAATGTAGAATTCTTTTAAAAATTTTTGCTTATCAACTATGTAATTTTTGCTTTAATTTATTACGAAAGCTTTTTTCTGTGGAAGCTTCATATCTTCTCCTAAGAAATTTTGGTGGAGTAGCTTTGCGGTAATAAAGGTGTAGGCCCTATTTTTCTGCTTAATCTATGTTACTTCCGAATAACATTGGCAAATTCACTTGCTAATGCTGAAAAAGTGAAGACAAGAATGAAGCTTCGAATTAGAATGCCGATAATCATGTTTTACAAAAATCATGTAAAAAAACTGTTTCCCACCAATGTTCCATTTATGGAACATGTTATAAATCATTAAAAATATTGTTTATCTTTTTTCATAATTCTTATATTTGAGTTTTAAATCGATTTTTCACAACAAAACGTTTACTTTACTTTCGCATCATAGTTTGGCGTGTAAAAGGTTAATACACTTCAGCTGGAAAGCAATTATTATAATTGTAATCCTACGGCTCTTAAGTGCACTACCTAGCGGCTGTCGGAGGGAATGACGGCCTGAAAGACAATAGCCTTTCAGTCAGTGTATTGGAGTCATGTATTAAACATGGTGTTCTGCCCAGAGATTTATTTTGTAACTTCAATGTTTAATGTCCTTAAGTGTAATGTTTTTTAATAGTGTTTCAGAATCGAAACTAATTAAAACTCAGGTGGTCTTTTGTTTAGTTAGTATTCCTTTAATTCTATTTAACTGTTAACCCGAACAGACTTAGAATTATAGCGTCCTGGCCAAAGAAAGTCTATGGAAAGAAGGAAAGGCTCCATAAACGTAATGTAAACCAGTTTGTCTTCTACGCCGCTAGAAAGAACAGGGACAATTCGCCAAGGAATTTCTCCCTTTGTGATGTACCTGGCCAAGATTTTCTACCTTCGCCACATGTGCAGGAAATTGAGGAACACGGGTTAAGATGAATTGTTCTTTGACTTTTCGTGATAATTTAAACTCTAATTTTCGTGCTTTTTTGCTTTACTAGTTGAACTTGTATTATCCATATCGCGGTTTGATGTCTGATTTTATATCTGTCAATATGTAGGAAAAAAATGGAGTCACACAGCTTTAAACTCTTGATAAACATGACCATCGGACCTGTTCGAACTTCGACATCAGCTTCGAGCTTTGGCGCTTTTCGGCGACAGATATTTCACGCATGCGCAGTTGTGTCCCTTTTCGTTCGGAGGGAGCCACTCCTACTGCTGCGAAGCTTTCTTTCTTAACAATATATATTCTTTGTCCTGGTTACAGCTGGCCACCCAGTGCATGACTCGAATGATTTATCCAGTTGAGAAAAAAACATGTTTAAGACTCCAGAATATTGACTCGTATTCTTTTCCAGGTTTTAGGTAATACTTCTACTAGTGAAGTGTCCACTCGAAGATTATTTTGGAAATTGCACGAAGTATCAGTTTCATTTTCACCTGAAGATAACAGAAAAAATTTCAGTTAATATGCAATACAATATTCTAAATATAACATCTTTAATAATTTGGAATGGAATCTGTCATAAAAACGAAACAGAATAAAAATATAGCTATATATATATAAGCTCTAGTTCTTTTCCTTTTAGCAATGTTGCACTTTAAAAATTTATATTGTCTTACATTATTTTAAATATATGATTTTTATTTGAATTTCCTGTGCTTTAATTCTTTTTTCTAATTGCAGATTAATTTTGTTTTCATTGAAAGTGAAAACAAGTAAAATTTTGTTTCAATTCCGAACGAAAAGTTTTTAGAAGGCAAAATGTTATTTTTTTTCTGATTGATATATGTTTCTGGTGTGCATAGTTTTTATAACTGTATTGCTATCTATGAATGAGTTGTATTTTATTTTATGAATAATATTAATGGATATATTTTTTCCTCTTTGAGAATGGAAATGATTAAAAAGTGAAAAAGGCTTTATCTGTATCATTTAAACTGTGCCACTACTGTTTAATTTTTATTCAATAAGAATATTTCTTTTGAATCAGTAATTTAGTTGCTGTTATTCTGAAAGTTATTCTAATACCTGTTGCATTTCTGAATTGTGTGTTTGTAAAATTTTTTTTAATTATTATTTTGTAATATTTGAGAATGGCTTATACATATAATTTGTTTCTCAAAGAGAACTACAGTCAAAATTAATTTCTTGGAGCATTTAGAATTTTGTAGACATCACATGCATTACTAATGGAAGATTTATCAAAGTTAAATTCTATTTTGGGGATTTTAACAAAACAAATGATTGGGAAAAGTAACAATGAAACATTCTCTAATCTCCTAGCAAAATACTCCAAAAGCTTATTGTGTCAGAACACAGCCTACATTTATTATTTTATCTTTAAGAAAGTGTTACTCAATTCAGTTTTGTAGCATCCAACTATTTGAATGTTAGTGCAAGATAACAAAGAACTCGCACATGCCTGTGTTATGTAATTATTCCAATTAAGTGTTGTTGTGAATCACTTTATGCAAGCTTTGTGAAAATTAATAGTTGTTAACTCCTAACATCTAAGTAAATGAATGAGCAATAATAAACAGAAGGGGTTATTCAAAAAAAAAAAAAAAAAAAGACATAGGTGTGTTCAGATACCTTTTTCTTCTCAGGAAGGACGAAAGTTGCATGCCATTTTCGCTTTGAGTCACATTTTAATTTTTCCCCGTGGGCTCCAGGCCCACCAGCCAAAAGGTAAAGTCACTGACCACTAGTAACTTGAATACTGGTGAACAGGCTGGCTTCATGAGCATTTCCATGATTTTCCCCATGTGTAACATGTATACAGTACAAAGTCTGTAATCCGGACTCGTCGGGACTTTGGCGATTCCGGATTAGGGGTTTCCTGGATTACAGGTAATCAATTTAAATTTGGTAAGATGGCATGCAGAAATTATACAATTAAAAATATGAAACCATAATTTATGAAATAAAGAACAATTATGATCTAAAGGATATCAAAATTTATAAAAAAAAGATTAATATTTATTTGTTTATTTTATTAAACATTTCTTTCAATGTAAGTTGTTTAATTTGCTTCGTTTTTTTGTGCTAATACTTCCTCTTTAATTCTATAAACAGACATAATTTCTTGTTCAGTTACAAAGTTCCACTGTACAAGTTCTGTAATTGCTGTGTTGAGAATACCGACTAACTTGTCAATCAAAATTTTTTTTGTTTTCGATAACTTCTCTGTCACTTTCTCCACTATCAGAAGCTTAATTTTTCTAAAATTAATTTTTGCTCTAATAGTCTGCAAAAAATAATAAGCCCGTTTCAATTAGAAGATTAAGGAACAGAGCAATCTGCAACATTAACTGAAATGCCTTAGAATGAGTAAAGATAATTTTAGCCTAGCTTATACCATCTGTTATACATTAAACGTGCATGCGTAAAGCATACAAAAAAAAAGTTTGTGGCTTTGAGGTCCGGATTATAGATCATTCCGGATAATGGGTGCCCGGATTACGGACTTTGTACTGTATAAGGGAGTTTCCTTTAGAAAGCCCTTCAGAAGGCACCCCTCCTCTTAGGCAAATAGCCTTCATGCCTCATGGGTTATATAGAAAATGACCTTTTACATACTGTAGTTATTTAGTCAGTTATTCTACCAGCAACGTACGCAAAAACAAACTGATAAGAGTCAGCCATTTAATGCTCTCCATTAAACAAAATTTTAATTTCCATCACCGTTTAAATTTCTTTTAACCTTATTTAATGTGATAACTGCATGAGGTTATAGATATGCTCAAGCCCCCAGGAAAAGCTTTTAATTTTATTAGTTATTCAACTGCAGTCTTAATTTGTGAAGAATATATCTCTTCCCAGAAGAAACAAGGTAACTGCTCATTTGGCTCTTGGTCAAACCCGAATGGTGAGATTCATTGCCAGATGGGGAAAAAACTGATTAGATGAAAAGCGTATGTGAGCAATAGTTATAAAGATAATTACTGGCAAAAAAGAAGCAAAACTAAACTAGCAAACTTGACAATAAGGAAATATGAAAAAAAAAAAAAAAAAATAGCCTCTGTTGCAGCTTTAACAGAAAAGTCCCTTTTTAAACCAATGCAAATTAATCTGCTAGAGAGCAAGATTGATACACGATTCTCATTTGCTATTGCAAGCAAAAATATGATTCACAGATCTTCATGTAAAACTGTAAAGAAAAAAATCCTGCAATTATGTTGTTTTTCATTAAAAAGGTGCAAGATGAAGGAATATTTTCTTCAGAAATACTTGTTCAGGATACAAGAAATAGCTTAAACAGCCTTTTCAATAAAATCTGTGAATATAATGTTAACTGAATTTTAAAAAACAAACTGCATATTCATTAAATGCAATGGACTTCTGAACTAAGTATGTGAGTGCATACATAGAGTTAGTTAAAGAACACTGTCATGGAAAGCAGTGATTCCCAACTGATGTGCCACGAAAGAACTGCAAGTGCGATGCAAAGTCTAACCTAACTCATCTGACTTATTTGAATATCTAAATGAACTTAATAAAAAAAAAGGCAAGGACTGCCTGAAAATATATTAATTTACACTGTCAAATTAATGAATTAAAAAAAAAGAAAGAAAGAGGAGGGGGAAAAAATAAGCTTTAGAAAATGTGAAAAATGGTACCTTGAAATGGCTAACTCTATTCTGCTGTTTTACGGACTTGATCAAAAAAAAAAAAAACTAACAGAATAGGTAGAGTAACATACATACATGTTTGAGAGAAAGCTCCAAGTGCATTCAAAACTTAATTGTATCTTCATTAGATCACATGGCATTAAATTTAAAGAAAATGTTACTGGAATGCTTATGTATTATAACGCTAAAATATTTTAAAGGATAATTTTATTAACTGAATCTTTAGCATCAAATAAAAGAAATTAATCGAGTTATAGAAATACGTACTTTCATAGTGTGCTATGAAATTATTTACCCTTTAAGGTATGCCAAGAAATTAAGTATAACTGCAAGACGTACTGTGACATGTTAAAAGTCCAGAAGCACTCATTTTAAAATTTTCTTGAAATATAAAAATCAAACAACTTCAGTGCTTCTGTTTGATACAACAAATCTTTCAAAACTATTTAACTGACAGCTTATGTTAAGTCAAATAGATGCTCTCCTCTCCCCAAAAGCAATATCCTGAAGGCTGTGGTGCAAAATCTACACATAACTTTAAAATACAACATAAAAACAAAATATAAAAAATATATTTCTGTACATATTTACACAAACGTTACAGTAACAGATCAAGATTGTGAGAAATATAAATCAGAATATTCTGAACAAGCTTCATTTTCCTGACATTCATTTTCAGAATTTCTTAAACCTGATTGTTTCAATGGCCATGTACTTATTTTCGATCGCACCTCCTAAGATGAACAGAAAAAATTATGTAAGTAATAATTCAAATTACCACACTGTACTGAAATATCAAGCAAAATACTAAAAATTTATGATAAAATAAAATAATAAATAATGAAATTGGTGCTAAGCTAACAGAAATATTAAATTTGTTATAGACTTAGGATATGTAAAATAACAACATTAAAAAAACTTTATTTAAAAAGTACAGTAATAAATTTAAGAAATTTTTTTGGTGACAAGCATATCAAACTTTATACATTTATATAATTTGCATGCTTATATTCACCAAAAAATGAACACCAGAATTTTTGTAATGAATATAAGTAAGTGAAATGCATAAATCATGCCTGCATTATCTTCACTAACATTTCAATGTTAAAATGCTTAGAAAAGTTAAAATCTCTCAAGTGCATTAGAAGCAAGCGAATTTCATAAATCATGCCTGTATTACCTTCACTAACATTTCAATATAAAAGCTTAGAAAAGTTAAAAATCTCTCAAGTACATTTACTGTTTAATATTTTAAAACTGCCACAGCTCAAATACACATAAGAATTATTTGGCCCATATGGACACTGAAAAACACTGCTAAAAATACACAGCAATTTCAAAATACCTTTTTGGGAAATGAAACATATTTTTCATTATGCAGAAGTATTAATATTCACAATTCTCAAATATGGACAAAGGCAATCCCTACGCACAACCACTTGCTACACATCATTCTGTGGAACAGTTTCTGAGTATGTTTGCATTAACCCATTCTTTTTCAAAAAACCATTCGCAAAAAGTGATTGGAAAATGTGTTACACAAGAGGACATTGCTACTGGAAAATTTTACATGTGAATGTGGTACCATGTTTGAATCCCTTCATATTTCACATTGCAGTATTATTCAGTAGGATACTTTGTTCTGAGCAACTGATTAAGCACTCATATCCTGAAAACTTGGCCTCGATCATTGCAGTTGAAACCCATGAATTTTTTATTATGGGGTTATCTCAAGTCTCCAGGTGTATATAGCAGCTCATCATCTGTAGCACAATTAAAATAGTATATACACAGTAAAATTGCTTTCATGGACCTAAATACACTTAACACATTGATGAATGGTATGATCATATACCAGAAGAATATGATTTCATGTGGTGGAGGTATACTGAACATTTAACAATGAGAAGCCCAGTGTACTGAAGCAATTTTATAGCATCTAGGCAATCTTACTTTCACATCCAAAGAGCAGGATAAGAATGCAACATTGTTTGTCAGCATTCCCATCCCCCTTGCTAAAAAAAATCTAAATTCATGGTATGATTTTGATGCAAGCTGCATTTTCATACTATAAATCGTTCATTTTTGTTACAAATTTGTAAACAGTCTTGTGAATTTTACTGCATCCTGAGTAAAGTATACATTTTAATGAAATTCTGGATTTATGTAACATGTATAATGAAAGATATACACTCATGCATAAATAAATACCGTAATTTCTGGAAGAAACGGCGCTGCATTTATGTGTTTAAAACTTAAATTTTCAGCGGGTGCGCCGTTTCTGCACACTAAAAATAAAATATTTCCTATGATGGTCATTGTACATAGTTTGGATGGCCTTGTCATTGTGCATAGACTGGTGCTGTTCCCACACAAAAGACCACTCAGTTGCTTTTGTGAACGTTATTTTGTTTACATTCTTTCCCTTGAACGGACCTACATGCCTTATTCACCCTAAACAAGATCTCAGAACAATAACATTCTTCCCCCATTCAAATCAACATTCTCATCAGTTTGAATAGTCTCTCTCCTCTGCCATTCGATGAATCTTCCAGAACCCCTCCCCCCCCCCCCCCCCCCCCCCCCCCCCCCCCCCCCCCCCCCCCCCCCCCCCCCCGCCTTTTCTGCAATTTTTTTCAAAGGCGGACACGACTCCACCTGCTTCGCAATAACAAACTCTGACGTATTTCCCCTTCAGCATGAATAGATTTTTCTTGGCATTCTGCCAGATAAAGACCCATCAGTTTGGGTACAAGTACTTGTTGGATAGTTTTTAAGTAAGAAGGGAACAAATTGGAAATCGAGCAGCAGCTCGAGAGTTTGATGTAGAAGAGAGATGCATTCGACGTTGGAGAACTGAAAAAGAACTTAAAAATATGCCACAAAAGAAACGACCCAAAAGAAGTGGTACTCTAAGGTGGCTGAATCTAGAGGACGACCTTGCAAACTGGATAAAGGAGCAACGAGGAAAGGGAATGGCAATTTCGACTGTAAAAATTAACTTACAAGCAAAGTTTATAGCAAAATGGATGAACATAAATGATTTCAAAGGAGGTGTAGCAGATTTATGAAAAGAAAAAAATATTTCTGTGCATACTAGAACAAGTCAGGCAACAATTACCAATGGACTGGCAGGATAAAAAGGCATCTTTTCTAAAATATGCGACAGATATTATTGACAAAAAAAAAAAACTTCTTCGGTCACAGATAATAAATATGGATGAAACGCCGTTAGCTTTCGACTCTCCTGCAAACAGAACTGGAAACTGGTGCAAAAACTGTATCTGTGCTTACGACAGGGCATGAAAGAACGTCATTTACATGTGTGTTAGCTTGTGCCGCAAAGGGTGGCAAGCTAAAGCTGATGATCATTTTTAAACGAAAGACTAAAGGGGATTCCTTTCGAAGGGAGATTTTCCTAATGACGTAATTATTTGTGCAAACGAGAACGGCTGGATGTGCGAAACAATCATGCATCAGTGGCTACAAAAAGTTTGGCAGCGTTGTATGGGATCTTATTTCCAACCAAAAGGGTTATTCATAATGGATTCCATGTGTGCTCATTTACTTGAGTCAGTGAAAACCAAATAATGTCAAAAATTGTCTACGATTGAAACAATAATTCCTGGTGGTTTGACAAAAATCTTACAACCATTAGATTTGTCAGGTAATAAATCCTTCAAAGCTGAAGTCCGAAAGCGGTGGGAGTGTTGGATGAGTGAAGGATTGCATACATATACCAAAAGCGGTAAAATGCATTTTGGTATACCTCAAAACATCATCAATTATTTTCATTCAAAGATATTTTCACACAAAATTCAGTAAAGAAGCATCACAACAGTGGACAAATCAAACAGTGGGTAAAGCAGTTTTAGGACATGGGCTGCTTGTGAAACAAAACAAGCCCAGGATGAAGAGCAGCCAGAATTGGAGTAGGTGAAAAATTCATGAAACATTTTTACTGTCCCACAAAATAAACGCCTTGTGCAAATTCTGAACTCATTCTGCCTGATGTAATGGTGTGGCATGTATTGTAATGGTGCGGCGTGTATTACGGAAATGTCTACAATTCCAGTCATACACCTTTCACGCGGTGCAGGTATTGAAAACGTTCCGAGGAACCATTGTGTAAAAGCTTTCTGTGAGAATATGCAAAATAAGATGGAAGTAAGTGGTTTCATGAATATACTTGTGTTTACAGATGAAGCCACTTTTCACACTTCTGGCAAAGTTATCTCCATAATTTATAATTTTGAGGCACAGAAAATCCACATGGTGTAATGGAACATGTGCATGACAATACATAGGTGAACATTTTCTGTGCCATTTCCAATAGTTTTTCCTACAATAGTAATTTCAGATCCTTCTTTCTTCATGGAAGAATCGATTAACGGCTGCATTTACCAAGATATGCTATCAGAGTGGTTGTTCCCTCAGCTGGAGCAAGTGGTTCCTGGCATCATTCAGCAGCAAGAATGATGCTCTACTATACTGGCATAAAAATGTACACTAGCACATGAACGATAGTCTACCCCATTGCTTATTGGGTTTGGCCCAATGCAGCAGATTAACTGCGGTGGGTCAAACAATATACTATTGCTTTGTTGGGCATCGAGATCCCCAGATCTAAACCCTTCGTGATTTCTTCCTATCAGGTTTTGTCAAAGTGTTCATGTCTTCATTTCCCAGGACTTAACAGCAACCGAAGCAGAGAATAACTGAAGTGCTCGAATCACTAAGAAAGGATATTCTATCACGAGTGTGGGAGGCACAGGAATGCCACATAGTTATTTGCCATGTCATTGATGGGACACACAAAGAACATGCATAGAAACTTGAATAACTATAGTTTCACTGTAAATTTGATTTATCAAAATTAAGTAATTACAACATTCACAAGTATGCTTTCTTTTGTCCCATTCATTCAATATGAAACACCCTATACTTCAGCTGTGTTCTGTGCATCCTCTTTTGCTGCTTGCTCTGCCTTGAATAACTCGCATCTCTGCTTGCTGGCCGTCTTTCATTTAAAATGTAACTGTATTGTGGATGGCTGTTGCACCCATAATCACATATGAAGTATACATTGTGCCTCTCCCTATTCTAACTTTAATAAGAACAACTTTCTATTTTGACATGTAGTGTTTCACTTCCCTCAATGAATGTTTCTATGGTTAATTGGTTATAGCAAACCACATGAGAGTTATATTGCCATGCACGATTAGTAGGCTTTTCATGATTTGCCATTGTTAATATTTGGGCAAAGCGGATAGATGATGGTAAAACCAACAGTAGATGCCAAGAGTGTTGGACATCTACGAATCATCAAAGATAAAGGACATCACAGACTGTCTCACTTGGTACAAAAAAATCGGCACCAGATTGTGACTCAGCTGAGAGCCCAATATAGCTCAGGTCTGAGTGCAAGTGTTCTGGAACATGCAATTCACCGGAACTGTCTGATATGGGACTGCACAGCAGACATCCCACTCGTGTGCCTCTGTTGACCAAGCGTCATTGTCAACTACACATATAGTGGACCTGAGAACATCGAGATTGGGCCATGGATTAGTGGAAGACAGTTGCCTTGTCAGATGAATCACTAATTCTCATTCATGATGTCAATGGTCATGTCAGGGTATGCTGTCTTTCAGGTGAATAGCTGCTCCCTGTACAGAAGGTCATACACAGGCTGGTGGTGGCTGGCAGTATGTTTTGTGGGACATTCTCATTGGCAGCTGTGGGAGCCTTAGTCATGGTGGAACAGACCACGAAAGCTGCGGACTCCCTGAACATAACTGCGGATCAGTTGCATCCTTATATGGCATCTGTCCTTCTGGCTAGAAATGGAATCTTCCAGCAGGACAGTGTTCCATGTCAGAAGGCTTAAATTGTGTTGGAGTGGTTCAAGGAAGACAAGAATGAATTCCAATTAATGTCCTGGCCACCTAACTTACCGGATCTTAACCCATTTGGGATGTCATGGAGTGGCAACTCAGAGCTCAATCACCACAATGTCAGAGTATCTTGACTTTCCATGCCTAGACAATAGGTATAGCCTGTCTTTAGTCATCTATCAAGAACTCGTGGCATCTATGCCAAGGCAAGTTGCAGCTGTTCTGCAGGACAAAGGTCGCACAATGCATTATTGAGAAGATGGTCATGTCTTGGCTCTTCAATGAAGTTTTATTGGTGTGGTGAAAACAGTAACAGCTGTTTTTAAGTGTTAAAAGACTTTGTAATGCAATAAAAATTTTAAAAAGTATACCTTATAGAATATGTATGAATTAAAAATTCATAAAAGTAACAACATTATATGTAAAGAAAATCTGATAGCTAAGAGCCTTCAGAAATAATTTAAGTCAATTTTTACACACACACACACACACAAAAAAAAAAAAAAAAAAAAAAAAAAAAAAAAAAAGATAAAAGAAATAAAAGCAATACCCATAAATATTCATCTTTGGATTCTGATACACTTTCCAATCCACCTGGCATGCTTTCACCATTATTGTGCCACCTGTAAAGTTTAAGATCGACTCAGTATGAAACACGTGACAGCAATGTCAGTTCTGATAATTCAAATTTTGTAGCTGATAAATAAAATAGTTAATCGATAAGACAATAATTATAATAGTGTACGATTTATAAACCAATTGTATACATATGTCTAATGCCATATTATTCTGCATCATTACTGAAAGAATGAATGAATTAATGAATAAAACTATCATGAAATGATTTTAAATTATAATAGTGTACAATTTATAAACCAATTGTATGCATATGTCTAATATCATATATGCCATATTATTCTGCATCATTACTGAAAGAATGAATGAATTAATGAATAAAATTATGATTTTAAATCATCATAATAATTACTACAATACTTAAGAAATCTAATCTTTACTAAGAAATATTTGCAATACTCATAATTGCAGAATCATGTTTCAAAGAAAATAATTAACCTTGAAGCATGTTGAAATGAAATTACTCAACTTCAAATAAGCCAGGAAATTATTCAATTTCTAATAAGCCAGTTTCAGTCATATTTCAGTACTTGTACAGTTAACTCGACTGATTGAACAGACTCTTCAGATGTCTTGCAGAAAAATCACTAGCTCTAGCTATTATGTTCTAGAATACTTTACACTTATTTAATTTAGATATGAAAACAGTGCACAATCTCCTTGAATGTTAAAATCGTACTTAATTATCATAGTGGATATTTCTTAAAAATATATGACAATAAATTTACACGTATTTCTTCACAGAACAGAATTTTGAATGACTAGCCTAATATTCAGATCTTATATGAAAAATGCATCTTAAAAACAAGTTTTTTGTCTCCACTGTTACTAAAAACAATTTCTAAATTTTAAGCTGCTTCTTTCAAGGCTAACTGGATTTGACTTATCAATATGTTTCTTCATATAAAATGTGTTATTAGTGGATTACTTCAATGAAAACAATATTTGTTTTAATACAATTGCAAATAGTAGAGCATATAAGGTAAAAGAAAGCTACATTCTAATTTTCAAACACCAAAAAAATAATATTTATCATAAATTACAATTTACGTAATTTTTTAATAAATTCACCCCTTGCCACCCCTGATATATTGTAAGCCTGACAACAGCACGTCTTATGTTTCAAATTTAAATCACAGCACTGAAAGGAACTCCATAAAAATACACCAATTTGGTATTTTTTATTACACATTATTGCAGAATAATTTTTTAAAGAACTAGATAAGATGCATTACATAAAAATTCAAGATAATGGATCAAATAATAATAAGGAATAAGTCATCAAAAGTAAGTGCTACTCTATTCTGAGATCAGTCAAATACAATAAAATATAGAAACAAAAAAGGACAATTTTTTTAACAGTACAAGTTTGTCAAGAATATGATATTAAAAAAGGCATACAAGAACAACTTTTTCCATTGAAGAGTCTTCACCTGTCTGATATTACTTAGAATTATCATTATATGTTTTTTATACAATCTATTATTCCGAAAAGAAGCAGAAAAAGAATATATCAAATCAGAAGTAGCTAATTTTGTTAAGTGATTTTGCACAACTTTGCACAGAACCCCATATTTTTTAAATGCAAAATTACATACAATTAAAAAAGTTAAAGCAATTTTTAAACTGCAAAAATTTAACATAAATTTTTTTTTCAACAGCAAATATCTTGCAGAATTTTTCTCTCATCTGCCCATTAGAAGACCCACGAGCAGCCAAGAAACATCTGACATACCTTTTTTGATCTCTCTCCTAGGCATAGATGCATAAAAAGTCTGTCCATATGTCCTGCAAGCAACACTAGAAATAACTGCTATAAAATACTCTGGGCCCTTATGGATTCATAAGTACACAGATAGGTCAGGTATCAGTAACAACAACAGAGCCAGCTTTTACTCCCTCCTTGCCAAATCAATGACAAATTTTGACAGGGATTATGACTGTGAGGGAGGCAGCAAATGCCCTCACCTGGACATCAAACAAAAAAGTAGTCTTCCTGTTGGACTCAATAGCTGCAATAAAAGCAATTATGAAGACAGAACCCTATGAAGAATAACTTGTAACCTAGTGCCAGGAAAAACTCCTCAAACTAAGGAGAAAACAGATATTCATATAGAATGTAGTCCTGGGGCACTGTGACATCACAGGAAATGAACAGGCAGACAGACTGGCAAAGGAAGGATGCTCTATGCCTCTGCCAACGCACTCCCAACATACATAATACGGAGAAAAATTACATCAACAGTCAAGAAAGACCATGGATAACATATGGAGGGTAGTTGCTGTTAGTAAAAAATGGGAAACAATCTCAAGATCCCTCCCAACAATACGCCTCGAGACGTTGCTGTGGCCATCTTCAGACTGACTACAGACCACAACTACCAGCAGAGCCATTTCCATAAAATCAGCATTGTCAGCTCTTCCATATCCCCCTTATGTAACTCAGCAGAATGGAACTCTTATCATCTCCACACACCTGCAATGCCCTGGAGGTGGAAACCTCCAGAACAGGGAAGACGGAAGGATGGGCACGGCTATACAGGATGGTGCGGTATAAAATGGCTGACATGCAAAAGACAAGCATTGGCTGAAGAACAGAATTTGTTTCATTTTTAGAATAACTATGGATTTTTGTGGTTTTTGCCTCAAAATGTAAAGCTTTTTCTCTAAGACCTATGACAAGCTAGGGCTGAATTTTGGCCAACCTTAAATTAGCATGTTTCTCAATCATGGATTTAATGCAAGTTATGATATCATAATTAATAAAAGTTATTTAACAAAGATTCAGGTAAGTTGGTTGCTAAACTGCTACCCAAAAGTATAAACATCAAATATATATTGTTTGTGTTAAATGAACAATATATATAATGAGGAAGAAAAAGTAAACAAATCTACAGGGTGATTTTTTGTGCCATTTTTTGGTATCACCACCATTTCTGACAGCTAATAATCCTTTTTTTTCATTCCAAAAGCAAAAAGGAATGTCAAACAATCTGTAGCACGAGAATCACATCCAGAGAGAAACTCACCACTCAACTGCTTTAACCTCTTGGTTATCGAGATAGCAAAGCAATCAAATGGCACTATATGGTAGAAAATCAATGGATTTCAGAAAGAATATTTTAATATCTGCAATAAAATTTTCAAGTTAAAAGTGCTTTAAGTTGTTTGCACATTCTAAAAATTCTTTTGGGAAATGCAAAAGGTTAATTTGGGGCCCTAATATAATTATGGCAAACATTTGATGCCTGTCTTACCAGGCAAAATATTTTTTGAAAACTTTCAAAGGGAAATTGGCTCATATTTATACTACATAAAGACCTTTCAGTGGAAACTGATTCCAGGACAACAATGCTATCTGACTTTTAACTACTAGTTACTGACTAGACTTTCAAATTAGAAACAGATCAATTAACAATGCAGATATACCTGCTTGATAATGAGGTCAGTATATTTCTGTTAAATGATCTGTTCATACTAGAGGACTCAGTTTCTGGTCCATGGACAGATGACCCTTCATCACTGGAACTTCCTGTTTCACAAACTGCAGAGTTCCATCTGAAAATACATAAGACAAGAAAGATAAGAAACATATAAATATCTGCATTAAAACAGTACAATCAGTATTACAGTTTGGTGGTAACAATATAAAACTATTCAAGTTGACTAAAAATAAGTTTAATATCTGAAACTACTCAATTAACATGTTTGGTAGATATCATTTTGTGCTTAAACATCCCAACGTTATGGGTTTGGCCTTGAAATTTTGAAGTTCCCCAAAAAACTGCCGCGGCGTGCAATGAATTGGAAGCTGATCTGTCAGCACTATCCTTATCTTCAGGGCAGATGTTTTTATTTTATTTGGCTTATAATTCCTTACTAAATGTAGTATTTCATCTCGATACTTATAATGTAGTATTTCATCTCGTATTATGCTTTGAAAGCTATCAAAATTTAGATGATTTTCATTGGTGAGAACAGATATATGAGCTACATATGAGAAAGGATCTTCCTGCCATTCTGAACTTCATATGTGATTTAGTTGAGAAAATTGAAAACCTTACTTACTCATCTTTACACTTGGCGGCGCGGCGTGCAATGAATTGGAAGTTGATCTGTCAGCACTATCCTTATCTTTAGGGCAGATGTTTTTATTTTATTTGGCTTATAATTCCTTACTAAATGTAGTATTTCATCTCAATGTACTCCGTCTTTGATATGATTTAAATCAAGTTCCTCGTCATTATAATTTGCTTCCGATAGCGAAGAAAGTGACACAGAGGTTATTGAAAACGAAAAAATTTCGATTGACAAATTAGTTGGTATTCTCGACACAGCAATTATAGGACTTGAACAGCGGAACTTTGTAACTAAACAAGACATTATGTCTGTTTAATAGAATTAAAGAGAAAGTATTATCACATGAAACGAAGCAACTTAAACAATTTACATTCAAAGAAATGTTTAATAAAGTAAACAAATAAATATTAAGCTTTTTCTTTTTGTAAATTTTGATACCCTTTAGATCATAATTGTTCTTTATTTCATAAATTACAGTTTCATATTTTTAATTTTGTAATTTCTGCATGCCATCTTACCATATTTAAACTGATGATCTATAATCCAGAAAAATCGATAATCCGGAATCGCTGAAGTCCTGACGAGTCCGGATCAACGACTTTTGACTGTATTATGCTTTGAAAGCTATCAAAATTTAGATGATTTTCATTGGTGAGAACAGATATATGAGCTACATATGAGAAAGGATCATCCTGCCATTCTGAACTTCATATGTGATTTAGTTGAGAAAATTGAAAACCATACTTACTCATCTTTACACTTGGCATATACTTGGCATATCTTTGAGCAATACATAGATATTTATTTTGTATCCTGATTGATCTGACTATTCTCTCCTATTCTGGTTGCTTTTGTGTTACCTTTTATCTTATTCATATTTTTCTTTCTGTCTGCTCTGTTTGTACATGCAAATCGGTATCAGTATCGATTACATGACACATACAACCGAGATGTATGGGACTGTGCCAGAAACACATTAGCTACAGCATGGGATGCTCTAGGTTGGCTGTGGCTTGGCTATGAAGTAGGTGGTAGAGAGAGCATTCCAGATTCTAAAGAGGGTGGTGCATTACTTATTTTCTATCATGAAGCAATTCCACTTGACTATTATTACATAATTTATTAAGACTATCCTGATTAAAAAAGATGTACAAAATCTGTGGAAGATAATTTTCTTTTCAAAATACCAGGTTGAAATTTGTTAATGGATGTGTGGGCTATTTATTTGTAGGTTCTTTTCAACTATGCATCCAGTATTTAAAAGGAGGGCATCTTGTTGCCTTAGCACCTGGTGGAGTTCTTGAAGCTAAGTTTGGTAATGAAGAATATCGATTTCACAAAAGTAGCTTTAGAGACAGAAGTACCAATAATTCCAATTTCTATACAGAATTTACGAGAAGCTTTTATATCTGTAAAGACTGGCAGTCATTGGTTAAGAAAAGTATATGAAAAGACTCGTCTGCCTGTGGTTTCAATTTATGGTGGATTTCCTGTAAAATTAAGAACCTATGTTGTTCCACATATTCCAAATGACCCAAATTTAACTCCTGAAGAATTAGCTGCCAAGACTGCTCAGGAAATTAAGAACATGACTAATATGTATCAAAGAATTCCAGGCAGTATGTTGATTGCCATTGTTGACAGAGTTTATGAAAAGCCAAAAGAAGAAAACTGTGTAAATATGTGATGTTCATATTGAACAAAGTGTGTATATTCTTAAAATCATGCTAAAACTTACTTTGCCATATACTCATTTCTAATAAATAGGCACAAGGTATAAATCCCTTACATTTTATATTATTCATCTATATTTAAGCACTTCAACTGATCTAATGATATTCTGAACTGATGTATTTTATTTTGAAACATCATTATACAATGCCAATGTGATAAACTACTGGTAAAAATTAGCTTACAATCCAAACTGGAAATATAATGGGAGGACAAAAATTTCAATTTATAATCAGGCTAAAGAAGTTTCGGGTATAATAATGGTGATCTGAAATCTTTATCTGACAAATTTTCTTTATTACTAGCTACTAAATAACTAATAGATTCTTATTATTCTCAACAAGGCTTTTACTTAATCAAAAAAAAATATGACGGCTTTCTGCCAAGGAAAGGGTGCCTTTGTAAAGAATTTTGGGAAAACTGGCTTATATTCATGTTACACATGGCTTATATATTTGAGCTCTGTTCCAATTTGATGAACAAACTGGCAGCATCAGTGTCCAGTTTGTCCATCAAATTGGAACAGAGCTCAAAATACCAGTGTTCAATGGTCTTGTGCAGTTAGCCACTAGTGGGCTGAGTGCACTATACAGAAATCTGATATAAAAGTTTTTCAAAACACATTATTGGTGATACAAACTGACACCACTGCACATTACAGACAAATTTAAATATAAAAAAATGGAGTTATCTATGCATCTAAATAACAAGAAGATATAACTGCACTGAAACAGAATGAATGATACCTTAAAAGCACGACAAACTATTTTTAAAAAGCAAAAATGGAAAGCAGAAACACTGATGCAAATTCATAACTCATTCCCTCAGATTAAGAGATAATTATGTGCAAAAAATGGTGAAATAGGTCAATGCTAATATCCTAACATCCTTATTTTCCAGTAAATGTTTGCTTAATATTTAAAAATCATTAAAAGGAAAAGTGTGGCATTCATATGCAGTCAGATTTTTCATGTGACCTGGATAAGCTCTGGTATCAGTACGTGATACCTACTACTAGTACTTATATTTTTAGAAGTATTAGTTATTTTCAAAAGGGACGGTCACCGTGAGAGAATTCTTTCTATACTAATGCAGTAATTCCAAGTTTCAACCACATAAACAGATTCAATAAGGTGAAGGCAGTCCCTCATAGCATATTATTCCAAAGCATGTGTAAGAAAGCAGTGAACAAGCAAGAAGGTCAACATGTTGATCATGTGTTGTTTTAACAATGCTGCGCACTTGACCACCTATTCATCATATTTTTGAAAATTTATACTTTCAATAAAAACAAAAAATATCACAAGTAGACTATACCAGATATTTCTACTTGTATAAAAATATCTTTCTTTTCAATGCCGCACAAGACATGTGATGTGACAAATATATAATTTTGATGGCATTGTGTTCTTCCTTTAGATAGATTATGATCAGTTCATTAATTTATTGCATTCATCAACATTAAAAAATATAACATAATGCAATTAATTTTAGCATCCATGCTCTCAAACTGTATATTAACTACAGCAAAATATGCATTGTTGTTCTTACCTATGCATTAAAAAAAATCTTGAAACCAAACTTTCTTCAGTGAAAATCATAACATGCCACTATTTGGACCTTTTGAACAATTTTTAAGGAAAAGGCTTATGACATTTCAGTCACAGTGAAATCCTTAAAATTGTTAAAAATGAGTATTTAAATTTGAATAACTTTCCTAAATTAATTATGTTACAGCACAGCTTGGTAACTACATTGAAGCTGCACATATGCTATATAAAGCATATGAATTTTCTGTTTACAATAAATATTAACTTATGGTTATCAATATCATATTTTTATGACATTAACAGAAATACTTGTCTTCCATATATATAAAATCTAAATAGCAAATGACAAAGTGAACGACTTAAGATTATGCAATAAGCAACAGTCATATTTATACCATTAAAACTCAAAAGACTAGAGGTTCTTAAACACTAAGGAATTTTTTGGTCTCAGGTAGACTTGATTCAACTTCAGATTCATACAATCAAATCGTCACAAAAAGCTTACAGCGAAGAACAGTCAAGTAATCATTTGACCCAAAATGACTGAATTTTTTTAATTTAGACATTATTTGATCACAACGAAGTCAACAGAAATGTTCATTTATTTATTTATATTTATTAAATTATAACATATTTCGTCCGCCTTCTTAGCATGCCCTGGTTGTGCAGTGGTCAGCACGCTCGACACAAATTCGAGAGGTTCATGGTTCGCGTCTCGGCAAGAGCATTGCTCATTTTTCATTTCTTCTGCTTCAAAATAACCTAATGCCTCTACAAAATATATTTTAAATATTATTAAATATAAATGTTTATATTAATAATTCGCAAATTAGTAAACAAATTTATTAAATACAATTAAGCTTAAATTTAACTGCACATGTATACCACATTAAAATTTAGAAAACCAGTTTTATGTTCTACATATTATTTAGAACGCACCATCTGGGAGAAAACTTGGCAAGGGATGAATGATGCTCAACTGCATAATGACAAAAGGAGAGTACAGCAATAAAGTTTGAGAACCATTGCTCTACACAGTTTATTATTGTTCAAAATAAAGTTTACGAAACTTGCATTCGATTCCAAAAGAGTCTGCACTGTCACCAATATACAATGAAATGAAATCCAATTTGAGATTTTACTATTTGATAAATATCTGATACTGAGGAAAGAACCTTGTGAATAAATTTAACTGGTTCATAATAGCTTTAAACATGCGAAAACTATCAGAACACCTGTGACCATTTTGCCCATTTTCCTGCAAGGAATTAAGTACCTAGTATGAAATTACCAGTCTTTCATGGCTTTGGTCATTCAGTGACTAGCAGGCACAACATAAACAGTTCTCATTTTTATGATATTTACAAGTTTTCCTTTACCTTCAACTTCTCCAAGTTCTTTATGATATTTACAATTTTCAAGAGAAAAAGTTCACATTACAGATTTTAACATTTCATTTTACTCTTAATTTGAGCATTTGTTATACATCTTTAAAATAAGCTCAATTATCAAAAATTATACAGACAGTATAAAATAACTTTAAAATTAGGGCACAGTTAAAGTTCTTATTACAACTGCGAGTTATAAAAAAACCATGACATTATACTAAAACATGTGTGTCAAATTCAAATACTCAAAATCAGCATTAAAAGTACAAAAATATAAGTATGAAAAATTAAAATCTTTGTACTTCATTTTTAACTTTTGGTACTTTGATATAAGTCACATCTCTATTAGTCTAACATTATTATCATTTTACAGGAAACCAACACAGTTCAGGAAATAAATAGGCAATTTAAGTTTATTATTAATTCCTAACTTCAAAACTTTCTTCTAATAGGATTTCAGTTACACAAAAATATCTCCATAGCCTACTTAAAAATTATATTTTAAAATCAAGAACTATACACAGTACTAACTGCAATTAAGCTATTTTTAACAGCAGTTTTAGAAAAGTACTGAAGGAAAAAAATGATAAATAAGCTAAAATTTAATGACACATTACTTTTGAAGTTCTTTATTTTCCCACTGAGCAAGAAGTTTATTGTTCCCTTCCAAAGGCTTCTTCACGACATCAGAACTTGATGGTAAACCAAAGCAATTCATGTTATCTACTCTCCAAATCCATGAATCATATCCTAAAGCAATGTCTCTAGGTCCTTTGGACCATGAATGATTTGCATTAAAATTTCTAGAAACTGAAGTGGAGCCTTTTGGTATTAAACGATACATTTGTTCAGTAGGAGCATAAGAAAAATAATTTTGGTCTGAACTATTCAACTTGTTACTTGATTGTTGCACAGGAACACAGGATAAAAGATTAATTACTTCATCCAAACCCGTATTTGTGGATACTGAATTCTGGTAGTCTGAAACAAAAAAAAAAAAAAAAGATTTACTAACTGACTAAACAGAAATAGTTCCAGTTTTTGAGTAACATATTATCAAATTTCAAAACATTCATTTCAATCAATTTCATGAAGAATCAAACAGCACTATAAAGTACATATCATCATATAAATCTTATCACTATATGGTAAGAAATATTTATGTAGCCATACAAAAAAAAAAAAAAAAAAAAAAAAAAAAAATTAAGGTTCTATAAAACTGCTATGGAACACTGTTTCCTGCTTTAAAAATTAAACACTAATTAGCTCACTCTCCCCATTCAAAGCATAAATATGGAAACATTTATGCTGGTAATAATGGTGCAACAGCTGGGTACTTGGACTTGAGTTCCAACCCCCATCAAGAAATAGTCCATCAGAAAATGTCAACAACTTTGCAGTAATATATAAAAGATGCAGAGATGTTTGAATTTGTATTGGAATCGAGAGAGGTGGGTGCTTAGTAGATTTTCATCAATGACATAAGTACAAAGGGTGCAGCAAAAGGAGATAAAGCTTGGTGCAAAAGTTCTGCAAAATCTCTTGAAAACACGAATTTGGAGCATATAATCACATTTTAAAATTAATTTGAATTCCATCTAATATATTAAATAATTAATAAATTATACACCATGTCAAATTTTATATAGAATTTAAATCTTTTAACCACTTTAAAGGAATGGTATTACAGTATAAAGTCTGTAATCCGGACATCCATTATCCAGACTTCAAAGCCACAAATGTTTTTTTTTTTTTTTTTTTTTTTTTTTTTTTTGTATGCTTTATGCATGCGCGTAATGCGTTTAAGCATGCACGTTTAATGTCAAGTATGCACGTTTAATGTTTACACATATGTGCGTTTAGCACAAAAAATGAAGCAACTTAAAAAATTTACATTGAAAGAAATGTTTAATAAAGTAAACAAATAAATATTAAGCTTTTTCTTTTTGTAAATTTTGATACCCTTTAGAATTGTTCTTTATTTCATAAATTACGGTTTCATATTTTTAATTGTATAATTTCTGCATACCATCTTACCAGATTTAAATTGATCTATAATCCAGAAAAACCCTTAATCCGGAATCGCCGAAGTCCCGACGAGTACGGATTACGGACTTTGAACTGTATTTGAAAAACTGTGAAAGGAAAATAAGCTCATAAAAAGCACAGTTAAACAATAAAAAGTTTAGTTTCTTGCTTAACTCTATATGATAATTCTGAATTTCTTTTACATTATTTTAAAGAACATTAATTACGCATGATAAAATATCAAAAAGTGTAACAAAAGAACACCTTGCCATCAAACTACTATGACGTTTAGCTGTTAACATTCAACAATTAGTAAATGCAGTAATAATATCAGTTTAACTATATATTTGGAAAATCACCATAGAAACAAAAAGTAATACAAAATTAGCAAAATCTCATGAATTTATTTTTAAAAGATTATTTTGATAGTTATGAAAACTTGAGATATAAGTGGCAGACAAGCTGTTCACTTAAGGTGGACTGTAAATAAAAGACTGACTGAAAATGGCTTAAGAGCCCAAAAGCTTGTGAAGAAACTTTTCTTTCATGAAAAACTGAGACTCAAGTGACTACAATGGCTACATGATCATAGCATTGCCTGTAGATCGATAATGGTGTCAAATTATTTAGAGTGAATTATTTAGAGTGAAATGTTGATAAATCAACATTTCCTTTGATACCTAATACAGAAATCACATTTATATAATGCTATTATTTTAAAAGATTTAAACCAAATCGTAATACAGCTATAGTAAAGCATCCTACTGTAATTATGACATGGAGCTGTATCTTGGCATATGGAGTGGGCAGACTATGTACTGTAGAAGGAAAAATTAATGCAGGCCAATATATTTATATGCTTGAAAGAAAAATTCTTTTTTCAATTTTTAGGATCTTTCGAAGCAATGTTTACATCTTTCAAGATGATAACACACCATGCTATTGAGCATGACCAATAGATAGATGGCTTTCTTTTCTTAGATGGTAATTTCGTGAGATACTGCCAAGCTGGCACTGGCGACATTTTGTTCCAGTCCCTGTATCACTGTAATAGGTTTTGTAATTGATCACTATATTAGCTGTAACTGTAACTTGACTCTCATATGGCCTTCAAGTCATTTTGTGAAAAAGAAAATACCAGAAATATCTCGGCAGCCAAGCGAAAACTATATAAGGCTAGAGACAGCATCTGCTCTCAGTTGTTGTTAGCCGTTAGCTCGGCATGAATTCCCACAACTATCTCCAGTTTAGCTTCACTCTTTAGTTGCACTCTGTTGCGCTTAACATTCGTAGTAATTTGCATGTAACTACCGATTCTACTCTGTGATATTGTCAAGCATTGTAAGACTACTTTTGTGGAAAGTTCCAGACCTCTGAAGTGTTTCTTGTGATAAAATACATTTTATCAACCAATCACTGAAGCTGCGTGCATTCAATCTATTATGAACCCATATGCATGTAACAATATCACAATAATGTTATTTTAAATATTAAAAATATTTTGAATTTTCTGTTAAAATCATCTTTAAAGTATTAAATTATTAATAGTAGCATTTAAATTAACTTTTAAAATGTCATTAAATACATGAAATAGATACTTTCATGAAGTTTTACGGAACTTCTGCACCAAAAGTGAATATTTCACTACAGTAAGGCTGCTATCACACGTCGGTTTGTTTCGAAAGAACAACTGTTTGGAACAATTTTTCTGCTTTGTCACAACAGCCAATCACCACAGCTCGCTTTGGGGTTAACACAGGGGGAAACTGGTTCTCCATTACAAACAAGCTAACAGCATTCGGCGCTGATAGCTGATTGGTTGAAAATGAACAACTTGCAACTTTTTTCGAAAGGAAGGAAAAAGTCGCACGTCTTTCTTTCAACAGTAAACCAGGCAGAAAAATTGTCCGAAACAGTTGTTCGTGCGAAACAAACGCCGTGTGATATGGGCTTAACAAACACTGTTAGTCTCTCAGGTGTTCGATATGCACAAAACACAAATGGTTTCGAAGGTGTTCAAAACATCCACTATCAATTCTGACACATTCTCAAAATCTCTCAGCTATGTTACAACAGAAATTCATAGGTCAAGATATGTGCTGTTCATTCTTTGCTGCCAAAAAAAAAAAAAAAAAAAAAAACACACACACAATTTAAGCACAGTACACAGAATTCTTTAAAATATTATCTCTTTCACAAAACCCCCAGAAAACAAGATTCATAGATGTAATGCATGGGAAGCATGGAGGATAATAATGTCACAGAATCCAGACCCATCCTTGGGATTACTTCATTAAAGAAATAGTGCACAAGATAAATGCTATTAGGTGATATCCTCTCCTACTAAAGAAATACCTCATGATTGTTTGGCAAACCTTGTCTTCTAAAACATATACATTGAAGAGCCATTACTTTATGACCACCCTGTTAATATCATGTAGGACCAACTTTAGCCCTCAAAACTGTCAGCACCTGGCATGCCATTGACTTCACAAGGTACCAATATGTAGTCTGAGGTATGTTGGTACCAAGCACTAACCAACTGGTCCTGCAATTTACACTCATTGCGAGGGTGTAGCGTGGCAGCACGAATTTGGTTTTCCAGGTGGTACCACAACATTCTACTGGATTAATGTCATGTGAATTTGGAGGCCAAGATATGACTTGAAAGTCACTGGAATGTTCCTCAAACCACTCCCTGGTGATTTGACCCTTATGACATGGTGCATTATCCTGTTGGTAACCTCCGGCCGGAAATACTGTTGTCATAAATGGGTTAAACTGGTCTACAACAACGTTCACATAGAGCACAGACATCAGAGATTGTCCTATGGGGGATTACGGGTCTTAATGTACTCCATTAAAACATTGCCCACACCATTATACCCCCACTACTGGCTTGTCTCTATCCAACTGTGCATCTGGGAGCCACGATTTTGTTCGGAAATCGGCATATTATTAGTACACACCCATGGATGTGATGGACCAGAAAACATGATTCATTGGACCATGCAACTGTCTTCCATTCTTCTAATGTCGAGTATATTATATATTTCAGTTTCCCTCCATGGGCCCACAGTATCAAATGTGATAAGGGAGCTAAGTGTCACTGGTGGCCCATCATATCATATTTGACACATTGAAACAGAATGTTTGATTTCAAACTTTAAATGCAGATAAATTATGTAACAGTTTTGAGAATTCTTGTTGAATAGAATATCTTGAGCATTAGTCTCGTTATGAATATTAATGAGCTATGAATAGTATTTATTATTTTACTCTGCCAATGTAAAACAAAGAGAGCTTACAATGCATATTTAGAATTTAGAAATGCATTACTGATGGTCTCATCAATCATATAAAATCTACTGTAATGCAAATGGTTTAATTTATTGAGCTTTGGAAGAACTTTTGTGTACACCCATATCATGTATTGGTGATATTGATATATGATAACTGTCGAAGTTTTAAAATACAATTTCATCGCATTGACATTGTGCAATTATTTTGATAGCTTTTTATACTTTAGTCTCTTACTATATATCCCCTTTCCTTGCTCTGTAACATTACTCTCATATCATTAACTTAAAAGACAAGGTAGGCCTAAAGGGCTGTATGAAACAAAATGACTAGGAACTTTTGGTCAGAAGGACAGTTAAAATTTGCTACCTATACAGACACGGCAAATATCTTCCCCACCTTTTTGCACCATATCAGAGATTAAGGGAAAAAAATCATTATGCAAAATAAACTATTTTAACTAGCTTATAAACGGTATAGATACAAACCTTGCTCTGATGTTTGCACAGGTGTAACAAATTTAGATTCAGTACAGTCTGTTGATGACCACACAGCAGGAGTTGGAGACCATGTCGAAACTTTATCTGAATTGCCAGGTATATTTTGAGAACCAAAATGTGAATAAAATGGCATATCCCCAGCAGTTGGCACAGGTGAAGTATAAAAATGACTTTGTGTATTATCCGAATCACTTACTTTTGATACTCCAACTTTGCAAAACAGCTGGGAAAAATGTTTTTTTATATTTGCATTTAAATTTGCATTGATAGAGATTTTAGAAGGATTTCTGTCAGGAGATCTCCACTGTAGACTATGTCGAAAGGAATCGCTGTTGAAATTCTTGGATAATTTAGATAATGATTTCCAAGTACTCCATGAAAACTGTGCTTGAAGTTCTATAAAAGAGCACAGACAAGTCCCAATAACCTAAAAAGTAAGTTAAGCATTCACCTGTTAGACTTATTGAAACAATGTCACTTCATAATTATGAAAATTTACAAGATCTTGAAAGGTTTATTAAAAATCATTAACTAGCAAAGAACTACTAAAAAATAAAATTTTAAATTGCACATAATTAAAAAATATATACATCCTAGTTTACTTTTACATCAAATGTTAATAAAACATAAAAACAAACTAAAAATAAAAATCATGAAAGAAACAAAAAATGGAATTTTTGTGACTCACATTTACCTACAAATTTTGGACAATTACTAAATTAGGTTATCAATAGGTAATTAAATTAGGCTTAATTAGGTTATTATTTATTTAAAAAATTTTACTTGCCACTTTTTGAAAACATGCTAAAAATTAGAAAATCAAAAATTTCATAGAATTACAATGCAGAGATTATTTGAATCCCGTGATTGTTGCAGGTGGCTCTTCTGACAAACACCCATAACAGACAACATACGACTGATTTAATTCTCCCCCTTGCCCTAGTTTGCATGCAATTTTCAGACTGGCTATGGGTGGTTTAGACAATTTATTAGTGACCGCATCCATTATTCGCAACTAGCCCAAATATATACTGCACATTTTATCAAAATTTCAATTGTGGAAAAACAAGCATGCAGCTTACATTTACAACCTCACAAAAATGATTTTATTTCCCAATATTGTATGCAGTTAAAAATGAGTTGATTTCTCATTCTGGAATAACAATATAACGATAGCATTTTAAGAAACTCGCCACACTGTTAAGGTACTGGTAATGTTACCCAACAACAGCATTGTTGAAACTGTTAGCATTTTTCACAATGTAATCTTGCATTTTATCCCGAACAAAACAGAATAAAGTCATATAAATACAGAACCAGGCACATGCATGCAATTATCATCAGTTGGATTGAAAACGCATGTATAATTGACAAAAAATGCCACCAAATCAATCATTTGTGTGCTATTTCTTATTATGTCTTAAGTAAGGCCTATTGTTGCAGCGCATTGTATTCCAGCTGCATTATAATGTGTAAAATTAAATGAAATTGTTTTCTATAAAGAACAAGAATTTTAATAACAAATAATGAAGAAACATGTGTTTAACTGAATAGAATATAATGATAAAACTGGAATATAACAATAAAGCTCTTATTTGGACAGTTTTTATTACAGATACTACCAATAATCTGTTGGAATGCAACTAGATTGATTTATTGGACATTGAAATAACTTTTACATACACCAAAGTTTTTGTAAACACCACAAGTACTGGTGGTAGTTGAGAATATATCCAGATATTATAGATTCATAGATTTCATACATTTTATAATAGTTAAATTGTATGGATGTTGTGCAATTGTTTAGATATCTCTTTCTTTAGATTTCTTTATTATCTATCCCCTCTTTCTCCACCCTAATATTACTTCTAGACAGTATTAATATCTAATAAACAGAATAGGCATACAGAGCCTCCATCATAGAAATTTATTCTAAAAAGAGTCCCACAAATAGAAAAGTTTCGGAACCACCGTGCTAAGATATTCATTTCATTTTTCATTCGGCCAAGATGTTTGTTCATTTAGATATCGTAACAGATGAAAAACTTTTTGCTTGCAGTTCTTGCTGCTAAATATGTTTCAAATAAATGCACCAAATTTTGATTTTAAGAAGATACTTGAATTTCCCATTTTCCATGAAGTATGTATTACATCAGAGGAAATTAAAGCAACACTCCAGTTCAATGCTCATTTTACAATGTGGTTATGATTATAATGCTACAAGTAAAAAGATATCATTTGTTTTAAGCCGAATTTTTTAATACCAACATTTTTTTAATTTTTCGTATGAATCGTTTCTGCATTTTTCTATAAGAAATGATATATGCTAATAGTTAGAAATCATATATAAATGTGAGTATAGACATATTTAACTTGCCACATGTACCTGAAAACTCTCTGCTATAGTATCATCTAAATCTGCTTCCCCAGATCTCATTTCTAAGGTATTCAAGATTTCTTGTAACATCATCAATGTTTCTGTTTTAACGGCAGCACTTGCACCAGCTGTAGCTTTACTTACTTCTTCCCAAACAGAAAGAAACTGTTGTGAAATACCGCGATATGCAGGCACATCTTGGACAGCATGAAAAAGATTTCTTGCTAACAAAGATCCTGCTCCACATAGAGAATTTAATGCCTATAGAAGCAAAGAAATTTAAACAAGGAAATTTAGAATGAAAGGGAAAAAAAAGTTTTGCCAACAATGTACACATAAACAAGCAATGCCTTAAAGCAAAATCTTAATATGTTTGTTCTGTGTAAATGCAATGCTACATTTCACAAAAGTCCATTAGAATATATTACACTACAGTCAAAAGTCGTTAATCCGGACTCGTCGGGACTTCGGCGATTCCGGATTATCGATTTTTCCGGATTATAGATCATCAGTTTAAATCTCGTAAGATGGCATGCAGAAATTCTAAAATTAAAAATATGAAACCGTAATTTATGAAATAAAGAACAATTATGATCTAAAGGGTATCAAAATTTGCAAAAAGAAAAAGCTTAATATTTATTTGTTTACTTTATTAAACATTTCTTTCAATGTAAGTTGTTTAAGTTTTGCTTCGTTTCATGTGATAATACTTTCTTTTTAATTCTATTAAACAGATATAATTTCTTGTTCAGTTACAAAGTTCCGCCGTTCAAGTCCTATAATTGCTGTGTCAAGAACAGCTACTAATTTGTCAATCGAAATTTTTTTGTTTTCAATAACCTCTGTCACTTTTCTTCGCTATCGGAAGCGAATTATAATGACGAGGAACTTGTTTTAAATCATATCAAAGACGGAGCATATCGAGATGAAATACTACATTTGGTAAGGAATTATAAGCCAAATAAAATAAAAACATCTGCGCTGAAGATAAGGATAGTGCTGACAAATCAACTTCCAATTCATTAGGCGCCCGCCGCCGAGCAGCGTGAAATTGATAAACAGATTTCGGATTTCAAAACATACTTTCGCTTTAGATCCTTTACATATTAACAAATATATATCGGAAATTCTATTTGATATAATCGAAAGTTTAAGCTTACTTGTATAAAATTGCTCTTACAGTCTGCAAAAAATAATAAGCCGGATGCAATTCGAAAATTAAGGAACAACGCAATCATCAACATTAACTGAAATAGATAATTAGATAATTTTAGCTTATACGTCCATTATACATAAAATGCGCACGCGAAAACGTATTCTGCACTTGCGCACACTCATATGCGCAGTCGTAAAAGGTCTTACGCGCACGCGTGAACGCCTCTGCGCATGTGTCAACGTGGCGCATGCGCAGAAAGTTTTTAGTTTTGATGTCCGGATTATAGATCATTCCGAATTATGGGGTGTCCGAATTAACGACTTTTGACTGTATATATAAAAAAGGCCAATGTTACTTAACTAAGCAATCTCTCACTTGTTCTCTTTACCATTGGGTTAAATGCACTACAGCCAAGGGATACTGGTAAAAGGATTCTTCAAATCTGAATATGCAGAATTTTTTCTACCATTTTGAATAATTATCAGTAGGAAAATGATACATCATTGTTATCAATACATATTTTTAGCAGAAATAAACAAGAGGAAATCTGCAGAGATTTGAATATTTAATTAATTCAGAAATTTACAACAGAGTGATCACCTCACAAAAGGAAATTTCCTTGTGTAATGAATACTCAGTTGTTTTTAAACAAGGTTTAGCTACAAAATATTTAAATTTTAAACAATAAACTGGTACTTATGTACTACAACCATCTTAGTGCAATTTGGTGATTTTTTATAAATGAAAAAGTAAAAGTTACATAGCATGTGAAAGTTGGTGGTTTTTGCACCTTCATTTTTAGAAAGGTTCCCAAACTATCAATATTTATAGTGAGTTTGATAAACAATATCAACATAGGAAAAGAAAATATACTTTAGCAATTTAAAATAAATTTGAATTATTAAGTAACAATTATACCATACATTAAAAAAATACATTCTTCTTCAAAATCTATCTATTTTCTTTCTTTTTTTTTTTTTTTTTTTTTTTTTTTTTTTTTTGAATTGTAGAGATACAGCTTTGTGCAATCTTTGACAAAGCGGCTAGCTAGAATCCTCATTGTTCAATTTAGAAAATTTTCAGCAAAATTCTGTATTGCTGCTGAAATTTTATTGTAGTTTTTTCCATTACTGCCAAATTCCACAAGCACATATTTTAAAACTAAGTTTGAAGCAAAAAATATCATGATTTGTGTATGATAACCATTGGAACTTGGAATACAATAAAATACACTGGTTATCATAAATTAAGGAAAAATCACAAAAATAGCGATAACTCCCTCAAAAATAAGCCAAACCGTGTAAAATTTGAATATGTTGCGAAGTAAGAGTAGCTAAGTAAAAATGCAATATGCAAATTAGTGGCGCTGCACTTGGAATACATCATATGCGAGGAGAATAAAAGTCCATGTTTGAGAGCAAGCCCACATATTTCACTGCGATAGTGACATCGGAAATCTGAGATAGCCAATTCGTAACAATGAATTCCGGGCATCATTTTCCTGCAGAACTACGATGGAAAGCCATTGGGAGACTAGAGGCAGGACAAAGTAAAACAGAAGTGGCCAGATGGATAAATGTGAGTACTTCTGTGGTTCACAGACTTTAGAGGCGATTTCAAACCACAGATTCAGCCTCTAGGTGGTTCAGCCAAGGACAGCCAACTGCTACAACGAGCGCTAATGACCGATATTTGACATTATGTGCATGCAGGAATAGAATCACTACTTCGACTCTTCTTAGATCCTCCCTTGCTGCAGCCACTGGAGGGTTGGTGTCAACGTCAACTGTGCATAGAAGGCTTCACGATGGTGGTCTGTATGCAAGACGACCAACCATTTGCGTGCCGCTCATGTCACGTCATAGGAGGGACCATTTCCAGTAGACACGACAACATGTCCACTGGACGCTTGATTGGTGGAGGGCTGTTCTCTTTACAGACGAGTCCAGGTTTAGTCTAGAAAGCGATAGTACGCGTTATTTGATATGGAGAGAACCTGGAACCCGTTATCATCCGTTAAAGAGATGCATACAGAAGAGGCAGTGTCTGTGTTTGGGGTGGCATCTCTTTGGGTGGACGCACAGACCTCCATGTCTTTCCAATGGAAACCGTGAATGCTCCGGTTTATAGAGATGACATCCTTGATGCTTATGTTGCACCCATGTGTCAGGGCGAATAGGTGATGCTTTCCTGTTACAGGACGAATAACTCAAGACCACACAGGGCTCGCATCGTAGATGATTATCTTCAACAGGAAACAATTATGTAGCATGGAGTGGCCAGCTCGATCCCCGGAACTTTGAATCCTATCGAGCAACGTTTGGGATGATTTAGAGAGACGTCTGTCTAGCTGCTCTCAGTCTGCCTCCCTCAGACCCTTGCCGTGCTTTGCAACAGCTTTGCAAGAACAATGGCTCTCGCTTCCTATGGAACTGATAGACAGCATAACTGAAAGTATCACACATCACTAGTATGTGCTTGTATTGGTTCTACAGGCGACCCTATTCCCTACTTGAAGTTACTTTTCCCCTAGAGCAAACTGACATCTTCGAATTTGTTCATTTTATACATGTGCTAATTTCTATACTACCATAATTGTCTGGTAATTTATTTTTATGTTATTTGATACCTTACTATGTGTTGTATATTGTGGGTAAGTTTCATACAACTCTACATGTAACTTTTTCAGTAATCGTGATTTTTGTGATTTTTCCTTAATTTATGATAACCAATGTAGAATGCATACAAAAATGGTGGCTTTGCTAGACTGAAACGATTGTTATGAGCCCGGTTGCCGGAAGAATGGTTATGCCCGTGGTTGCCAGATTTTGGCACTTTCTGAAAATTTGGCTACTTCTACAAAGACAGTTGCGATAGTACGTAAGTACCTATAAATTTACTTATTGTTGAAAACAATAGTTCAATGATCATAGTTAAGTACTGCTTGCATCTACTGTTGTAGAAAACAATCATTTTAATAGTCTGAAATTAAATACAAATTACATGTGATAATTATTATGACAACTAATAATTTAAATATTCTATCCATAGAATATATCAGGATATGAATACATATATAATAATAATGCATATTTATATATGAAAGAATACATCATTATGAAATTGTACATAGATTTGTAGAAAATAAATGTTACAAAGTATTAATCTTTTCTATTGCACTTTTATATTTAAAAACAAACAATCTTTATTTTACTATAAATATTGTTAAATTAAATAAAACTGAAAAATGCCGATATATTTTACAATAAATTTTTTTAAATGAAAGATTCATTAGATTTTTTTATTTACTTATTGCTCTAGTCAATGTGATTAATAAGTGTTTAAGTGTTGTAGTCTTTCCTCCCCTTCACATTTTGAATAGAAAAATTGAAATTTGGGACCTGCCTTCAATAACATCGCATGCAGTGCTGGAGTATTTTTAAGATTACAGGATCCTGCCATCAAGAGAAGTGAGCATTAATAGGCATGGTATGCAACTTTATTTGAAAATGAATAAACAATGAATCTGATGCAATGTGAAAAATTTAAATATGTTTTTAATGTTATATCCATAACTTATAGCTCTTGATTATCTAATTAAACACAGAATGATGATGCAATATGGCAGCCATAAATAACTGGTGTATCCTGCCATCTTTAATTATTGACAGAAATAAGATAAAATGCTTTACTTTCATATGTTTAAGACCTACAGAAATACATCGGCTTTCACATCTGAACTGTATTTTTTTCTGAAATCTTATGCAATGTTAAAAGTATGACATTCAAGCTGTGATATATGATGACAAGTAAAGTTCCTGTTTTTATAATTTCAGACTGGGAAATTTCATTTGTCTTTTCTACAATTAACTACAATTTGGTTAAGATGTCATATACAGCCCGGGATACATGTGGTAGCCAAATGTGGCAATACTTTGCATTGGATGGTTTAGTTGAGATTTTGTTTGTATTGCAACCATTTTTACATTCAAACTTTTGTGGGAAATGTGGTTTTAATTCATCATAGTGGTTTTTTGGTTATATGTTGAGAAATGGCATATAGTTCCATGAAGGAAATTGTGGAGAGATATCAGCCACATGCTTTACAGCAAGGGTGGCCAAAGTGCACAAGCTTGATATGGCTCTCACAGGCAATTTGTGCGGCTCATGCATATAAAATATATGTATGAAATATCTTAAACTAAAAACTATTCAGTGTCCAAAAGGAATTAATTAATTAGTTTAGATTCTTTTTACAAAGTTATCAGGGATTTCTTTCTATTTAAAACCTCCTCCACTACTTCTATAATGATGTAAATATGAACTTGTGCCTTTTAGAAATTCTAGATGCGGCTCTCGGACATTCCTGAATTCAAACGTGCAGCTCTTACTGACATGAAGTTTGGCCAACCCTACTTTAGAATGTATTCAAGCTAGATTTAGTTCAAGAAGATATGTTGTTGGAGTTATTAATGAAGCGTATGTTCATGGTTCTCTTCATGCTGAGAGAAGAGAATTTTTGTGGTTTTTATGGAATACAGGATTTTTAAAACTGAACCTGACATGTGAGAAGTGTGGCTCTGATATGAAGATTCAGAAAAAAAATTGTATTTCTGATGGATTGATGTGGATTTGCACAAACATTGTTGAGGGTAATGAATGTGGTTCTGACCGAAGTTTGAGTTTTGGATCCCGGTTTTCCTGCAGTAAGTTGACTTTAGAGGAAATTCTTAATCTAGCGTTTGAAATTTTGAACATTAGAAAGGCATCTGATATAGTCATGGCATTTGAGTTTACACGCTTTGTGCAACTACTGTAGTTTTATTAATGAAAGTATATTGGATTATATACTATGTGATATGTCTGTCCTTACATGTTTTTGTTTGAAATTAATAATTTGCTTCTTTGGGAACTATTTTGAATGGTAAGTGAATTTGCTTTTTTATTGTTTTAATTTTGTAGAGAGTTATCTTAATTGTTGCACTGCTTTAATTTTGTGCTGTCATTTTTTAAATTTTTGAATTTATTTATGTTGAAATTTTTTTGAATTTTTTGTTGTTATTTTAGTTTAAATGGCTCTAGTGTAGAGCTGGGTGCCCGTTCGGTTGGCGACAAATTTTGTTCAATTTTGGTGAGGAAACCACATTTCTGGTTATCATGATTGTTTTAACTTGGTTTTAACTTCCTACTTTTTTAAAGTTAAAATAGATTGATGTGTACATAGACGAAGTCAAGGCAGTGCACAATGCTGAGCTTGTGCAATTCTCTTATTTTTAAGGGAAAATAGATCAATGTGTACATGGACACCTAGTTTGCGTAATTCTTTGACTTCTTCTTTTGGTTTTGTGTAGTGGCCATCTTGAAATTAACCTTCCTGGCACTGATCTTAACGTCAAAAAAGAATCTGGGGGGGGGGGGACAAGGAGTACCCTATTGTAAACTTTTACCATTTAAATTTGCCTTCAAACATTTTTGGCTAGAAACTTCACGCTTTTACTTATCTAAATTATTTTCTTTTTATTTCGGACGTTTAGCATAAATCATGCGAGAAAATGTGGTTTTCGTACATATGACAAATGCATTTCCTCAAATATTTAAGTTTGAAAAATGTAAATAAAAAATTTAGCTACCTAAAAATCGTTTAGTTTCTCACCTGCCAACGCAGTCCGTATACGACAGCTGTTCCTACAATTTTTACACACTCAGTTATCCAGAACTTTTACTTATTTGGCACTTCCCAAGCTTTCCTGATAGTTTAGATTTCACTGTAAAAGCATGAAGGATTCGGATTTTACTGTACATATATTTTTACCAATGGCATAGCTTGATTGAGCAGCTGAGGGGCATTTTGTTTCATATAGTAACATCCAGGCAGCTACAACAGAGAAGATTTGAAAATAGCTATTCGAGAGGAATGGAACAATGCTGAAATCTCTGTAATTTAAGATCAAGCAGATTTGATATCAAGAATCTGAGCAATTAGAAATGCCCAAGAAAATAGCAACCCAAGAAAATAGCACTCATAACTCAACTTTCAAAAAAATTAAAGGAATATGGAGTATATTAATATTTTTTGAACCCATCAAAGGTGGAAGTTATCTATTTAGTTATTTTTCTGTTTAGTTTTATTTATCAGTCATTTCACTTTTTCAATACTTAGTATGTTCAAATGAAAATTTCTGATATATTCTTCTTACATTTGAATTTATTGCCTTTTAACAAACATCACTTATTATTTACAATGTTTGATGTCCAAAAATTGTTCACATTCACTATACACTAAAAGAAGTCATACAATTACATACCTGAATGTAGGAGCAGCACAGGTCTAAACAGTTACATATATCATTCATGAGGCTATGAGTATCAAACTGTTGAAAAGATGGTTTCGTGGAGGCAGAAACAGGAAATGGCATTTCACGATCTTGATGAACAGATGGTTTTGTACTAAAATTGAAATGTCTACGCAGATTGGCCATAACTTCAACCCAAAAATCACTACTTGATTATGAACATGGACATTAAAGGAATTTTCATTTCAGAAAACAGGTCAAATTTGTACCTATTAAATATACATATATATATCATTAGCTATACATTGTAATTATTCAAGCACATGCATCTATAATATAAATTTAAATCAGTGATACATGTATTTTTTCTTTCATTTATACATGGTTCTACATATTTTGGATGTAGCTACCCAGATGGTGTAGTTTAGGGGAGCCGACCGAGATACTGAAGGCCCTGGTTTCGAATCCTGGAGAAGGCATGTATGTAGATTGTCTGTCCCTGCATAGGAATAATGGAGGCTGCCTATTAGGTGGCTCCATAATAAAATGACCACCATGTTTGGCCTTAGTAGTGGCGAAAGCCTAAAAATGGCTATCGCCCACCATTAGAAAAATTTAAAAAAACATATTTTAGATGTTGTATATGAAAAAAGAAATTTCATACGATTTAGAATTAATAAACATGATATTACAGAAATGCATATATATTATCCAATTTTGGTTGCAGTAGATTGCAGGGTGCCCCTTGGATTATCACTAAATTGTTGTTTCATTTATCACCAAATTGTTGTTTCATTATGGTAACTTGGGCAGTTGAATTTTATGGAAACCCTATTATGATGTAATGGGTTGCATGATTGGGGTGAATTTGAATGATGGGACGGATTTGAGTTTGGATAAGAAGTGTGTTGTTCTTTTGTGGTTTACACGGTAAAATGGCTGAATGTTGTAAGATTAAGTTTCAGTTCAATTTGGAACGAAAGGGGAAAAAAGCACTGATTGACTGATGTGCAAATGAAGGTTTACTTAGTTGCCATTATAAGTGTTGTTTGTAGGAAGAAAATGCGTATGGTCAAACGTCGGAGGATACCTGACCTACGAAGGATATGTTTTACTCTTACTTTTGTGAATTTATGTGGCGATGCCAGCATACAGATTCTAGTTCATGTAATTTTAGGAAGTTTTTGGATGCTGTTAAGGAATTTTGTTTGACTGAAGACAGGAAAATTTGTAAGTATGGTAAGTGGATATTTCTTTGTGTAGTGCTAAGATGAATTACCTTTTATTTTATGTTAGTTCATTGTTTGATTTAAAATGTAGTTCACTGAGATTATATATTTTTTGTTGACTGCTCCTTTGACTTTTTAAGTGAATATAGATCAATGTGTACATGGACAAAGTCAAGGGAGCGCGCAATGCCTAGTTTGTGCAATTCTCTGATTTTTTTTTTTCAGTAAATATAGGTCGATATGTACATGGATACCAAATTTGTGCAATTCTTTGACTTGTTTAGCGGATTTGGATTTATTTGGGATTTTTGCGCCAAAATTCGCCGCTACAGAAAGCCAAAGTAGCAAGCCAAAGAATTGCACAAACTCGTGGCCCATGTACCGCCAAAAATCGCCAAGGGGCACCCATAAGTATATTTTTACCCCCAATTTTTATACTCGGTTTCAAATACTTACTTAGAATTGTAAAACATTTTATAGCCTCGAAATTTCACAACAAATTAATAAAAGTAGAAAGCAAATTGATTCCTCTTACCTTGTATCCAGCACAGCATCAAGTGAGATCATAGCTAATTAACTTTTAATCCAAAAAAGGTTGTAGACGGAAATTGTAAGTGAAACACATACTTTATTAATACATGAAAATAGTTAAGATTCGTTAGTATTGAGATATATATATCGAAAGGGAGTTATATAAAAGAGAGTGTCATATTACTGTCCTTTCCTGAAAGGTGTGAGAAAAAGTGAGTTTAAAGAATAAGTGAGTTACACAATTAACTCCTTAGCAGGATGTCCAGATTACACAGTTTATCGCGTTATTGGTGACAGTCCATCACTATTTGCATATCAACACCCCTGCTTGATGGGCAAGATCGCCATTTGCAGTGATTCTCGAACACAGGTTTGCCTAGTAGTTTGGTGAGTAGATCCGCAATCATGTCAGAGCTTCTGCAGTAGTCTAGGCTCAGGATCCCGTTTTGTTGAAGTTCCTGCAAGTAGTGGTATTTGACATCTATATGTTTTGTTCTGGAGCTATTTTTCTCCATCTGTGATAGTTTGATACATGACTTGTTATCATCATAGAGAGTAATCAGCAGATTTTGTTTTAGTCCTAGATCTTTAAGCAAATTTAACAGCCATTGCACTTCTTGTGCTGTATTAGCTGCTGAAATACAGTCTGCTTCTGTTGAAGATAGTGCAATACAGTTTTGCCTTTTGGTGCTCCATGAAATGAAGTTTTTTCGTAGCTTGAATATGTATCCATTGTACCATGGATTTTCTTGTTGTTCTGTCATTTGCCCAATCTGCATCTGAATATGCAGTTAGTACAGGTTCTTGAATTTTGTTAAAGAACAAATTAAAGTCTTTAGTTGTATACAAGTATCGAATGACTTTCTTGACAGCATTCCAATCTATATTCCAAGGTTTTTCGTTTCTTCTACTCAATAGATTGATGGCGCATGCTATATCTGTTTTGCTGATTGTTGCAATATATAATAATGCCCCTACTGCTTGTCTATATTCTGTATTATCCTCTAGAAGATCATCTTCAGTTTCTAATTTGCAGTAGTTAGTTTCTATTGGCGTATATGTTGGTTTTTCATTTTTAAGTTCAAATTCTTGAACTATTTCTTCGATTTTATTCTTTTGGTTTATGGCAAAGGTTCCATCTTTAAATCTTTTGATGTTTATGCCGAGGCAGTAGGTGACTTCTCCTAGGTTTTTGATTTCCAATTTAGCATTTAGTTGTTGGATTGTTTCCCTTACATCTTCTCTTTCACTTCCTATAAGCATATCATCTACATATAATATTGCACATGTAAATTTTCCATAGATGTTTTTGAAAAAGAAGCATTGTTTTTATTAGTTTGTAGAGTTGTATACAGTCAAAAGTCATTAATTCGGACACCCGTAATCCGGAATGATCTATAATCTGGACCTCAAAGCTAAAATCTTTCTGCGCATGCGCCGCATTGATGCATGCGCATAGGCGTTTTACTCGTGCGCGCAAGACATTTACGACTGCGCATATGCGTCTGTGCAAGTGCAGAATACGTTTTCGCGTGCGCGTTTAATGTATAACGAACGGTATAAGCTAAAATTATCTAATTATCTATTTCAGTTAATGTTGATAATTGCGTTGTTCCTTAATCTTCGAATTGGATCCGGCTTATTATTTTTTGCAGACTGTAAGAGCAATTTTCTAAAAGTAAGCTTGAACTTTCGATTATGTCAAATAGAATTTCCGATGCTGGAGCTCCCAAAGGATCTAGAAAACGAAAGTATGTTTCAATGTCCATCAAACAAAAACTAATTGCTACAAAAAATGGATAAAAGGCATATCCTTTTGTTTATCTAACCGTTCCGAATCTGTTTATCAATTTCACGCTGCTCTGCGCGGGGAGGGGGGGGGGGGGGGACGTCGCGGCGCGCAATGAACTGGAAGTTGATCTGTCAACACTATCGTTATCTTCAGGGCAGATGTTTTTATTTTATTTTTATTTTATTCGGCTTATAATTCCTTACTAAATGTAGTATTTAATTTCGATGTACTCCGTCTTTATACGATTTAAATCAAATTCCTCGTCATTATAAATATCACGAATACAAATCAAATAGTTTTCTGGTTGCAATTTTCTAATTTCGGCTATGCGTAAGGTATGCTTTATGCGCGTTGAAAGAAATGTTTAATAAAGTAAACAAATAAATATTAGGCTTCTTTTTGGTAAATTTTGATACCCTTTAGATCATAATTGCTCATTATTTTATAAATTACGGTTTCATATTTTTAATTTTATAATTTCTGCATGCCATCTTACCAGATTTAAACTGATGATCTATAATCCGGAAAAATCGATAATCCGGAATCACCGAAGTCCCGACGAGTCCGGATTAAAGACTTTTGACTGTATTTTACTACAGGAGCAAAGGTTTCATCATAGTCAGATCCAAACTTCTGGTTAAATCCTTTTGCGACTAATCTGGCTTTGTATCTTTCAATTTTTCCTTCTGCACTGAGCTTGGTTTTGAAAGACCATTTACATCCTATTGGTTTTCTTCCTTTTGGTAAATCAACTAATTTCCAAGTGTTGTTTTCTTCTAGTGAATTAATTTCTTCTCGAACAGCTGTTGCCCATTTTCTTTTTTATTTCCTTAAATTTCCTAAGTTTGAACTTCCTTCCAGGTTTTGGGTTCGGAGGAGATTGGATATTTTGCATGGAATCCGTAGCGATCAGGAGGTTTACCTTTTGTGACTCAGTTTGATCTTCCAAGTTCCAAAGATTCTTATTCAGATTCTGATATTTCGCCTTCTTCGGGTTCTTCTCTATTTTTATTTCTTCCTGTTATAACGTTGCGCGCCTCCAACTTGCACGCAACCAAGAGGTGACTGTGAAAACTTGTATAAAAGATAGAGCCTTGTGAAGGGTTTAAGTCCCTTTTTATTCAACGTAATAAATTACAATTGCGTTCTCTTGACGCTTACAGATGGTGCCAACTCGGCAGTCAAATAAAAATAATAACCTGAAAAGAAACTAAAGACAAGATTCTAACTACGAGGCTCTCTAAAATAACTAACCTCACCGCGTTTACAATACCGCTGCTAATTCAGCAGACTTGAAGCTCACTGGAACGATTACCACTACTTCCCGCCAAGCACATAGGCCGCAACGCGGGGTTCTTCAATTCTCGCTAACTACCTCCGTGCTCGTGAAGTAAGAATATCACACACCGAACTTGTTTCCTCTCTATTTAAATCAGAATACTTCCGCTGATAATTTGAATCCTTGCGCGTTCTACTCAAATTTACATATTCTGGCATTGGCAGTTCCAGGGAAAAGTAAGGCTTGACAGGAAAGATAGTTTAAACTTAAAATAAATGTTAGTTAAAATAAATATAAACCCTACATTGTTCTGAGCTTTCTTCCTTAGGATTTTCTTCATCTTGGTTTAAAGAGACGCTTACAGGCTCATTAGTTTGTGTTTTCAATAAATCATGCAGATCGACTTATTATGATTTTGTTTCTAGAGGCTAAAATTCTGTATCCTTTACTTCTGCTCTCGTAGCCGATGAGTATTTCTTCTATAATGGTATCATCAAGTTTATCCCTTTTAGATTTATGGATGTAAGCAAAAGCCTTGCACCAAGAAGTCCTCAGATGAGAGAGGTTGGGTTTCTTGTTGTTCCATAATTCGTATGGCATTTTTGAATTTGGTTTAGTAGGCATACGATTCTGCCTTTTCTAAACAAACATATAAATGGCACATTCTTGGTGAAGGCTCAATTACCTTAATTAATTACCTTAATTTGGTAGAGATTTTGATTGATTTCAAGACCTATTAGACATAGGTCCCTCTTCTTCAGAAGCAAAAAAAAAAATTTGTAAATTTTTATTAAAATCAACACCAACATAAGTTGCTGTTTTGTCCAATTTTAGATTTTACATGGTTGTGTTTCCCTTCCAATTTGATATAGACTTACATTAAAACGTAAAAAGTTTATTTAACATTATGGGGAAACACAATTGGAATTAATAAATCTAGGACATTTTAGAAAATGACATTTTTCATCTTAAATCCTGTCCTTTTATTTCAAATGAAAAATCCTACGAACAGACAATAAATAGCATTATTACAACAAGAAATGGAAAAAAGGTTTAAAAATTTTAATGATTTAGGCTCGAATGTAAATAATGCACCAGAGAATTTGCGTAGGGAGCTAATATAAGAGTGTGCTATAAGAGAAGGATTGTAATTTCTGCTCTAGATCTTAAATTATCCACTACACAGCCAATCTTTACAGCTCTACTCCATAAACAGGTTTGGAAAAGATGTTCTAAATCAGGCCTGAAGCATTGCCATCCTGAACCCATTCTTGGAGAGGCAAACTTTTAATTTTCAGTTCACTAAGGAAAGGAGGAGATTAATATATTGATGTCTTTTTACCTGGCCATCATACTACCTGCCCAGACAGATAGAAATTAAGAACCTGTTTATGGTACCACAGCCAAGACTTAAGTTGTGAGTCAATAGTGCAGATGTCAGCCAGTTTAATAAACCCAGGTCAAATGCTAAATAACAACAATTACAAAATTTCACAATAAGAATAAAAATATATAATACCGGCTGATCTTTGCAATATGGTAACAGGTAGTTTGGCGACATTTTGGAGGCGATAAAGGTTACTACCTAGGACTTTGGTAATAATGTGAGAAGTACTCAGTTCCGATTACGCATTATTTTGTGTGAGGGAAATGAGAGATCATGAGATATGTCATGTGACATTAATGGACCAATTACAGTTCTTTATCGGGAAAGGGGGTAAATTTGGAAAAATATCAATGAAGCTTAATACAAAATAATACTATATTATTTTGTATTAAGCTTCATTGTGTGTTGTGTGAAATAGTGTTGATTAATTTTTGGATTGCATGGCGCTATCTAAAGATAATTCTAAATTTTTAATGTGTTTATCTGATAATTCAAAAAGAACTGGTTGAATGGTGTATGAGTGTAGGTTTAATTGCAGATAAGTATGAATGTCCCAAATGTGGGAATGAAATGAGATTGTGTGAAAGGAAGGATATTACAGATAATTTGAATGGCGGTGCAAGAAATCTGGTGAAAATGGACATTTTGTGAAACGGAGTGTAAGGAAGGGTACGTGGGTTTGCTGAAGTAGTTTGAGTATGGGTGAAATTTTATTAATTTCTTATTACTGGGTGAATAGACTGCCAGTTGACTACTGGATTTCGGATTTAGAAATTAGCAGTGGTACTGCAGCCGATTGGAATTCTTTCTGTAGGGAAGTGTGCGTGCCATGTAATGAAGATTCGGAAGAAGATTAGGTAAGTTAGTATTTTTAATCATTTGAGGATATTATTTTTATGCATTGTTCTAAATGCAAGGAGTAAATAAATTAATATGGTATTATTGGAAAATTGTTATTAGCAATGATTTAGTTTAAAGTAATTAGGATTGTAATCTAATTTTTATTAATTTAATGTATGTGCTTATTTATATTTTAAGTAGTGTTTTTTAATTTAATGATCGTGATTTTGCGAGTTATATGTTTGTAGTATTTTGGAATACGTTTGAGTAGTATACGTTGAGTATTTTCATGCATTTTTGTGAAATTTTTCTAATTTATGAGAAAAAAGCAGCGTACATGGATATAGTGAAGAGTGTGTGCAATGCCATTTTTGTGCAATTCTGGGGTGTTTTTTTAAGTAAAAATAAAGCGACGTGTACATGGTTTAGTTATATTTTAATTAAATGATAGTTATTTTGTGAATTTTGTATTTGTAGCAATTTGGTATACGTTTCAGTTGAAGTAAACATGCATGGAAATAATTTAAATATTTAACACAAAGTATTTGTAACCATTTTTAATGTTTATGGTATAAATTCGTTGGTGACATTTATAATATAATAGATAATTTAGAGGTAAAAGTTTTTGGATATTTTATTTATTTTATACATGGAAATGTTCATCCTTGGAAAGGGTATATACTTTTTCGCGATCAGGTAATTTCATATATGTGCTTTTTACCGAGTTTAAAGATTCACAAAATTTTCCTGCATTTTCGTGCAAATTTTTGTAATTTATGAGAAAATAGCAGTGTAGATGGATAAAGTTAAGAGTGTGTACAATGCCATTTTTGTGCAATTCTGGGATGTTTTTTTATAAGTAAAAATAAGTCGACGTGTAAATGGTTTATGTGTATGTGCTATTCTGAAAAACGCGCAAGGAGTTTGCGATTGTGCACTTTTTCCCAATTTTGCAGTTAATATTTGTCATGATTAAGCAGTTTTGTTACATAAAATTTCTAGCATAAGTGTCATTCGGCTAGTAGATTGTTGGAAAAAGTGTTGAGTTAATAAAAAGAAAAGAAACATGTCTTTACATCGTGAAGACAAAATGGCGGCGAAAAAAAATAGAGGGTTGCTGTAGCAGAGTTGGTCGCGAAATTTTCGCCAAAAAATCACCAAGTTACCATAATCCAAAGATCAACCATAATACCTTATTTAAAAGTACATTTATATGAGAAATAGTTTTTTTTCCCCCTCCATATGAAAATTGATAAGTCTAAAAAAAAACCTTATTGACTGACGTGCTCCTACAGTCAATTTATGATGAAGACAGGTTTTAAGTCATTTCTCACCAAGGCTACACACTTTAGCCAAATCAAAATGCTACCAAACTACCAAATAGCAAGTAGTCAGAAGAAATAAAAAAGTTTATAATTATTTACATACAAACACACATATTCTTTTTGTAAGTGTCAAAGAAAAACTTGTAAGAAAGAGAACCAGTTGTCATTATTTATTCCCACATTTTGTGCCACTTCGAAAGCTTTCACAGTTTTTTTATTTACAGTTTAAGTAAGTTCATTAGTGGCCAATTTAACATATTAGAATTATTTAAAAAAAATATCAGGCTAAAAAATTTAATAATTAGATGTCAGTATGTTTGAATTAAAAAATGTAACCAACAAAAATTTCTTCCAATTTTCTTTTTAGATTTCAGATAAAAAAAAAATAAATATAAATTTGAATTCTTTCCTTTGGATTATTATTATTATACATTTATTTATGATTTTATAAATATTTAACAAATGAAATTTAAAACTCACTTTAAAAATTTTTATTTTATTTAAAAACCAAATTTGTCTTGTTAAAAAAATGAAACAATCCTGCCCATCCAGTCATTCCATAAGCAATTTGAGACCATTGCTTTATTATGCTCTAGTATTATTATCTACGACAAAAATTCAATGATCTGCAGGTTCTAAAAATGTTTTTATCAACAGAATACCATGGTTACTATGATAACCTGCAACAATCAAACCATGATCTGGATGGTTTATTTGATTATGAAAAAGTTCACAAGGGCACTCTGCCTGAGTGGGGAAGAAATGCCTTTTTAAGGAAAACTGGATTGTAGCGAAGTTATACATGCGAGAAACCATGAGAAAGACCATGCAGCTAGCCCATTTTCCAGGAACAGAGCCCAGGTCAAACTACCAGTGTTCAGGGATGTCATGCTTTGTTGCTGGTGGGCTCCCATGAATTACAGTAGGATAAAAATTTTTGGCTATAAGACATTATCTATATTTTCAATCTAAGAAAGGTTCAAATGTCAAATTACAGGGGCGTAGCTAGAGGGGGGCATCTGTCCCCGGGTGCAGAAACCAAGGGGCGGAAAACTGATGTTTCGACATTTTAGAATTAAATGTTTTCCATCCTTGGCAACCAATAGGGAGCGCGAAATCTTCAGTTGTCCCTGGGCGCTGAAAACCCTAGCTACGACTCTGCCAAATTACAAAATTTTATTTCTATGAAGAACCACCTTCACTTGATAACTCTGCAAATTTTTATAACAGTTCATTAAAATTTTCTGAACTGACCGAATTATTCAGCATACATCAAATTCCAAGTATGTCTGCATATATTTCAAACTGTAAGAAATACATTATACATAAACTTACAGATAAAACTGAAAAATTCAGTCTATCTGAAAAATACCATAATATTAAAAGTGTCTCGTTTTGCAATAGCAAGAAAATAGACCGACTGAAAATGGTAAATCTAAAATGTATCAAAAATTATTAGCAGCAGTAAACAACATATTTTTCAAATTTAATAAGTGTTTCCATTGCAATTACATAACCACTCCCAATCAAAATTTTAAATATTTATATTTAATACACATATATTTCCTAATTTTTTTAATGATCTCAAGAGAGTGAAGGATTTCGCAGTTTCTGAGTTTAACTAAGTACTCATATTGCGTTAATATGATCCAACGAGGGTGGAAATTGGTGCATGTTGACATTAAAATATAGAACCACTCCCAATTCAAAATACTCTAAACATTAAAAATAAATATTTACCTCACGCTTCTTCTGATGGCTTCAAGAAACAAAAGAATTGGACTTGTGTATATAAAAATCAATTACAAATATTGCATTCATATAAAAAGACGAGTCAAACATGAAATAACGGTACGATTTACAACAAAACCTTGAGAAACATTTAACAAACTTTGCACCCTATTTAAAAATTGCGATTCCTTAAATCGATTCATTTAACGTTGAAGTTTCGATTCTTCTTGGCTGTGTCTACCCGTACGACGTCGGACGTTTAGCTGAAACATGGTAAAAATGCTAAACGTACGACTAGTAGCGCAGAGACACTTTCGTGATTTCTGCGCATCCCGACCAGTCGTAAAGAGATGTTTGTTTACATTTGTGTTGAATTGCTTTTCCGTGTAGTGCTAGAATGTCAAGAAAAAGTTATTTTTTATTTCGTTTGATGACTAATTACTATCATTCTTTGATAGATATCTAAAACATTATATAAAATAAAGAACTTTGAAATATATCTGAATATTATTTCTTGTTTTAAATTGCTAATGTTTTGATCATTTTATACTGATGCGGAGTTTACACAAATAATCAAAATTTCTTGAAATTCTTATCAACAGATTTAAATAAATCATTCATGCAAGCAGTAAAATCACATTCTTATGAAACGAAATTGAAAAATCGTCTTAAAAACCTTGTGTAACTTTTCTGTCATGCGTAGCTAAATATTTCTATAAAATTGCATACAGAAGCATTTATATACATAAAGAGTGTGTTCAGGAGAATAATTCAGAAATGTATGTGCATATGCTTGTATGTACGGATGTACGGATGTACATATGTTCATGTAGCATATGTATATGTGTGTACATACGTTTGTGTGTGTGTGCACACCTGATACACATACATGCAGATACACATACATTTGCATTTTTGAGTCTGGTCTCGAAAAAGTCTTGCTGAAAAAGAAATGTAAACAAACCAACCCAGCTCCTTAAAAAAAAAAAAGTTTAGAAATTTTTTATCATAATTTTGGTTTCTACAGCAAAACTTTTGTGTGTGGGTTTGTTTTAAACTCTTAGAAGAACTCAAATTTTAATATAAAGACGTGAAAATTTTTGACCTTTTGATAGTGTACCTGATGATTTATTAAAACACAATTGACTCTCTTATATTTAATATTGAAAAGAAGGAGGGGGATATGTACAAAATTATAATAAAGATAATTCTAAGGTATTTTTTATAAATATATGACTGATTACACACTCTGAATATAGAAAATAATCGAATATAAAAATACAATGACTTATGCAGTATTTGTTTTATTATCATATCCTGCCCCCATAAGCTCAAAAATAAAACTTTATACAGGAAAGTCATTTTACCTCCAAATATATTTTATGGTATTGAAGTATGATAACAGATGATTATTTTTGTTAGAAAAATTATAATGTTATGAATATTTTCTAAAAAATATTTTTCCTGAAAAATTATACATTATATTCAAGCATATTTATATATTAATATATATATATTATATTCAAGTAATAGATGACATATTTATATATTTAAGAAAATTCTTTAAGAATTTAAAAGAAATAAATGGCAGCACTATGTCTTGTCATTAACTTTATCAAAAGAACTTACAGGTTCAGAGCACCTAAGAACTGTACTTCGAATGTCCTTTTCTTTTCCCCCCCTTTTTTTTTTTTTTTTTTTTTTTTTTTTTTTTTTTTTTTTTTTTTTTTTTTTTCTGTAAGAGTTTTGCTTTATACTATTTACAGATGTGACATCTAAAAATGCTTGGCCTTTTTTATCCAAATATCTAAATATGGAAATCTGAAATAGTGCAATATATTTGTATGTATATAAAGTAAAATAATAGTAAATTCTACATAAGTACATTATTATTCTAAGATAATGTATTTAAAAATATTCAGTTTAATGCAAATATGTGAATCAATTTATACATATAAATTTTAAGTGTATGACTTCTGTTGGATGTTTTAAGTAAACAATCAAAAAAATTAACCTTTTTATCAACTTATCTTGCACATATATACATTATTACTTTTTTTTCCTATAAGAATAAACTTAATCTAATATAATAATCTAAAAATAAATAATACACAACATCTATTAAGGCAAACCATTTTTAATACAGTAACAAATAATACAAGCAATATAATTTAATACTTTCAGTCGTCAGAGAATGAAGTGAGTTTTGTGAAGCTATTTAATGAACAAATCTGAAAACAATTTTTGATGGTTCTAAAATACAAGTTCTAAAAGAATTAAAATATGTACATGAGATAAATGCCGCTCTTTTTGTTTTAACCCCTTTGAATAAATTTTAACCAATTTGATACTTTTTTTACTTCTTTTCAAAACCTTGAAATACATGAGAAACTGATTTCAGGACCAACACATTTCAAGAAATATTGCTAACTGCAATGAATCAGCACACATGTATGACTTCATCAGAACCATCAGAATGTCTTGTATTACCTTTTGTTAGCATAAATTTAGGTGTTTTACATAATGAAACTCGAAAGGCATACGAAACGAACGGTGCACCAAGATATATATTGGCGAGAGAAAGTAAAGTTCCTGTGCAATGCAGTATATTTGATTTTTCACCCTAGCTACTTGTACCTGGCCAAAGTCTAATCCAGTAGTACTTTCTTCTTCTTCTCTTTCAAGTACGATGGCAAAGTATGTTCGTGTTTCTCCTTTTTTTATTGCCTAATATAGGTAAGCCTGATGATATTTAGTACTGATGATGATTCTATGTAAGTTATTCTTTTGAATACTTCAATTTTAATGTCTGTGAAGATTATTACTTTATTGTTATCCTTAAGTTAAGCAGAATTATCCTATTTTATTAAATAAAGATTTCGTAGTTAAAATTTTTGACTTATGATTCTTTAATTCTGTGCTTGAGGAAACGTACTCATTACGCCTTCAGTGCTAATGCACAACTAACAAAAGATTATGAGACTGATAAATTGAAATTTTGTAATGTTGTAAGATTCCAGGGGCATAAAGTATTAAAACGCTTTGTTGAAAATACTAGTTACAAAGTTTAAAAGAATAATTGTAACAAATAATGTGTATTCTAAAAGAATCAATTTGTATAGCAAAGTTAACAGATGAAAATTATTCAGTGTGGAAATTTAAAATAAAACAACTTCTAATAAAAGAAGGTTTAGATGATGTTGTATTCGAAGAAAAACCGGAAAATGATACTGATATTTGGTTAAAGAATGATCGTAAAGCTAAAGCTTTAATATGTCTAAACATTTCGGATTCGCAAATTATCCATGTTTTACATAGTAAATCTGCAAAAGAAGTTTGGCAAAGTTAAAATGTGTCCATGAACGTGTAAATTTAACAAATAAGTTATTTCTTCTTAGAAAACTATATTCCATTAGATATAATGAAAGTTCTAAAATGTAGGAACATATCAAAGGAGTACTAGAATTGGCTGAAAAGCTGCGTAGTATAGGTGAAGAAATTAAAGAAAATAACTTAATAGCAATACTACTATGTTCTTTACCAAATTCATACAACTCCTTAATAACTGCAATAGAAAGTAAATCGGAAGCTGAATTGTCGCTAGAATATGTTAAAAACAAATTAATAGATGAGTGTTGTAGACGTGTGGAAACTAAGAAAGTACAAAACTACGATTCAGTTGCTTTAAAAAGTAAAAGCGCAAATAAATCAAAGTATAGTACACAATATTGTAATTATTGTAAGAGAAATAACCATACGATAAATGACTGTTTTCATTTAAAACGCAACGCTAATACTTCCCCGAAAACGGATGTAAATAATAGTAAAGTAAGAAATTATTCTCAAAATTATAAAAGTAATGCATGCCAAATAGCAAATACGCAAAGTGTACAAAACATAACAAAACTTAAAGAAAATAAGTATTTTAAAAGTATTGAAACTGAAAATACACAGATTCAGTTTAATCAAGTTCTAAAAGTGGAAAATAAGCATGAAAACACGCAAACGCAAGAATGGGTTATCGACTCGGGAGCCTCAACTCATATGACGAGTGATAAGAATTTTTTCTCTCAGTTAAATGACTCTAATAAACAAATAGTAACTGTAGCCAATGGTGCTAAATTAAATTCTTATGGTATTGGTGAAGGCTATTTTAAAGTTCGAAACTTAAAGGGTCAGGTTACACAAATAAAATTAGAAAATGTATTGTATGTACAGTCTGTCAAAAAAGTATTTGAACACCGGTACCCATCTTGAAAACGCAAAAATCACTAAATGCTGTTTAACTTTTTTTTAAAAGCCCTAACTGTATAAAACAAAAGTTAATGTAATATCTGTTTTGTTTTCATATCCCTAACCCTTTGCGACACGCATATTTAAAATATATTTTAATCTTTAAAAAATGCCTTAGAATAAGTCAGATGGACTTACTTAAGTGTCTTTAAGGCTTCAAAAAAATTCTGCGCTTTTATTTTTTACGGGGGAAGGTGGGATACCGTTTGTCCCACCATGCAACTAGCACATGCAACTAGCATATTTGTGTATAGCAGGAAAAAAAATCATATGTGGAATGAATAAACAAAATAAAGCATGCATTCTAAAACATTCATAATAAACACACTAAAATGCATTTTGTACATATTGCATATATGCATGACTTGTAAAATTTTGCATATGCACATTTTGCATATATATATTTTTAATATTTTTAAATTTTAGGAACAAAAGAAAATATTTTCTTGAATATTATTTTAAGATTAAAATTTGATACACATACATATGATACTAATAAAATATTGAAGTTGGCACTTGATTCACAAACATTTATATATGATTAAACTGAAAAAAAGTCATTTTTCATGAAACTTTGAAAACAGTTTCATTCTTTTGTAAGCATAGAGGCACTTCACATGTTTCACACAACCAAATGTTCGTCGTTCTTCTTTCAATGTGCTACAATGCACATCTTCTCCTGCTCGTTCTCTTTGGCGTGTGACTTATATTTTTTAGTCTCTTTTTCTGGTTGTACGAACGGGTTTTTATTTGAACTGGGGATTTTAGTTTTCTTTTCTTTTCTTTCTTGCTTGACCTTCTATCACTGAGAGAAGAAAATCTTTCATTGTGTTTACATCATGATCGGTTCACGAACAAATGTAAAAAAAAAAAAAAAATCATGTGCCACCACCATTTCTTGCTTT